TCAAGAAAAAATATGAACAGGGTGGCCAGTTAAAAATAAAATTAAAATTCCAGGATATTTCCAGGATTTTCAAGGATAATTTTGGATTATTCAAGGATTTATTTTCTCGACAATTAAATAACTAGTAAAAGCAAAATATACTTTCTTAGAACAAAATAACTAAATATATATAAATATATTTAAATACATAAGTATGTTTTGATATAAACTATTTTATTTCATATTTTTTTTAGATTGCTCAAGTTTTTTTAATGAAAGGTCAATGTCTTGAATGGCTTGTTCTTTTTCTAAAATTATGCTTCTAAAAGAATTTGCTTTTGCAAGAACAGTAAAGTCTCTCTTTGCTTCTGCTTCCATGCTTAACTTATCAGCATCAGATTTAAGAATTTCAATGCACTTTGCAACATTTTCTTTTTGTTTTTTCATTACTAAAATATCTCCATCAATCAATTGGCGTTTCCTGCTTAATTCATCTACCTTTAATTGATCTTTGTTTTCTTTCAATACTATATTGTAACGATTGTATGCTAACTTACAACTTTTTAAAAGATCACTAGGGAGCTCATACTGATGTGTGACAATGTCATGAGAATTAATGTGGTCATAAACTATTCTTTGAGAAATAAGAGATCTCTCTTGCAGATTTTCAACCAACAATTGTTTATTAACACTGAACCCTCGTTCTATTCTTGCACATTGGCCGTGAGATAACACAAAAACGATAACACAGACTTTCCACAGTGCTGAATACTTCGGAATTTTATGCAAATAAACAGCAAAAAATTTATCAACAGAATCAGTTAACTCGTTGAAGGAATCAAATTTTCTCGTAAAATTGCACACATTCTGCACTAACAAATTCATCATATTGTTGTTTTGCATCATCTGCATTGTCAGATGATAACCATTTTAATGCACTTATTCTTTCAGCAAGAGCCTTGAATTTAAGAATGGATATTTCCTTGTTTTTAACCATTTCACTTGGAGACAAAGATGAAGCATTCCTCACTAAAGAATATTTCAAGGGGGATCTTTCTTGTAATTTTTGCAATAAGGCTACAATAATCTGCTTACATTATATTATAAATTCTAATTTCTCTTCTGGTTTACAATTAAGAGAACTTAGCATCTGTTTTAGTGCTGTTCTGATATCAATTTTGTTTGCATCTAGTTGGTTATTGGATTTACCTACTTCAATCTTTGTTAAACTATATGCAGTTTCAGCTTCTTTAAAAATGTTTGGTTTGAGAACCATTTTCATCAAACTTCGCAATATACTTTCTAAACTATTAGATAAAAATGCAACCATAGGTCTGTCTGTTTGAAATAGCACTAGAAACCCTTTCAATTTTTTAGCCAGATCTTTGAAAAACTGCATACGCAAAGGTACAAACTTGTGTAGATGATGATCTACCAGAACCTCGTAGCTTTTATTTTTAGGACGTTTGCTTTTGCATAATGATTCCCAATACTTTATAATTTTAACTATGTTTGGCCATACAACAATGCCTCTAGAAGCCACACCTTCATCTTCTACCCAGCGAGTTGCACAGAAACTGTAAAACAATAAAATCCAAAAATTTAAAGGCTGAAATGCTCTTTACTTATATATAAATAAAAAAAAGATATAATGAATTATAATAAATTTTTTTCTTCTTAAACATGCATACTTACGGTAAAGCAAGCAGATCTGTTTCACAAACTCTAATATATTCATCTATTTTAGCTGGTGACTCTTTAAAAAGATTATACATTGCACGAAATATTTTTTCCAACTCCCACTTTTGGGAGTTTATTGCTGTCTGTAGGGCACCATGAACAATATGCAAGCTGCAACTGCCCATATTACCAATGTCAGAATATCATTTTTCCTGTCTATGCTCATTTAACATTTTAAGAACCTCCTAATTAACATTAGGACCATCCATTGAAACTTGAATAAGTTTTCCAAGATCAAACATCTCTGTTGCTTTAATGAGTTTGTCAAATAAATTCTGTGCATTAGGGCGTCTGAGGAATTTCGAATCAATATATCTAACTTTTACAACACCTGAATTTGAATCCCAGTATCTAACTCCACAGTCTATTTGTTCATTTTTAAAGGTTACATTCATACTCTCATCATATAACAAAACAAAGATTGGCGATGCTCTGACTTCAGATATAAATTGGTCTCGATAGTATGGCGCCAAACCAAAATTAATGAGGTAACCACATTTTGTTTTGCCTAATGCAAACTTTGATGCAATTTTACTGTCAGAAAACATAAATTTGAATATTTCATTTAAATTTAAGCATGATCTTAAAGAAAAATGTGACATTACAACATTTAAGGTCCATATTATTTCTGCCTTAGTAACCAAAGCTGGAGATTGAAGATCCTCTATAGTAGGCTGTGTAATTTTGTCATTTAAAACTTTGTTTAAATGAGGAGAAAGTTCTTGAAAATTACTGGAAGCTGCTTTATCACCAGATATTTCTGTAGTAAAATCTAAAAGTGAAACATGAAAATATATATCCTGTAAAGTGTGCAGCTAATCAACTTGCTCCAAGCTTTTCAAAATTAAAAAACTAAATTAATTAAATATATTTAATTAATTTAGTTTTAACTAAATTAATTAATATATTTAAATATAAATATAAACAACTAAAAAATAACCTGTAAAAAATATATCAGCTGCATTATGTGTCCTTGCATGCTCTTTATGCTTCTTACCAGTTGCATGTGAATCTAATGCAGATACTCCCATGTTAGAAATATTAATATCTGTTCGACACCAATCACATCTTGCTTTCTTTGAATTTAAAGAACAAAATTTTATCCAAGAAGAATACTTTTTATTGTATAGCCATTCTGTTTGGAAACGGCAGTTCTTTATTTTAGGCATTATATTAGTGATATATATATATATAAATATATATATATATATATATATATATATATATATATATATATATATATATATATATATATACATATATATATATATATATATATATATATATATATATATATATATATATATATATATATATATATATATATATATATATATATATATATATTAATTGTGTATTATATTTTCTAAATAATTAGTAGATATTATTAAGATATTATTGCCATGGAGAAAGTAACATTATTTAAAATATTTATATATATTTTTTGAATATTCTAGAAAATACATAATCGAAAATAAAAAGATAAAAACATCAAAACGAAATATTAAAATCTTTCAAAAAAAGTTCCAGGATTTCAAGGATTTTTTGTAAAAAAGAGTGTTTTTCCAGAATTTTTCCAGGAAAAAGGACCTTTAAAATTCTAGGACTTTTCCAGGATTTCAAGGATTTCAAGGACCGCTGGCCACCCTGATGAAAGTTGCTGTTGAACGGTGTCTTAAAACACTATGCTTTTAATTTTACATATAATTTATTTTTTAAGTTTGAAGCCAGATAAAAATTATTTTGAGTTTTTAAAAATTGAAAAAAAATTTCTGAAAATTAAAAACTTAGTTTTCATTTTTTCAAAATTTTTATTTTGAAAAATTGCTTTAGAAAGATGAAAAAGGCTTTCAAAAAATTATGAAAATTTCATAAGAGTTAACAACAGTCAGTAGAATTATTTGTAATATTAGTAATCGAATGTACTTGTAATTTATAAACACCTGTAGACACTTTAAGTGCCAATAAAAGTCAGTAAGCCAAATAAATGACAATTTTTTTTTTATATTTCTATTTTAAAGATACTAGTGACTTTTAAATAAGAAACAATTTTTAATTGAATTATTCAAGCCTTTAGGCTGGGAAGAAAATTTGGTCAAAACACCCAGAATATAATAAATTATAAAGTCTCCAAATTTTTAGCCTCAGGTAGTTAAACAAAAAAATGAAGTTTGTGCATTCAACTGTTAACTCTAAATGACGTAAAATATAAAAAAAAATTTTACGATGTTCTCATCCTTAAGATAAGTTGAAAGTATTTTAGAAAAAAAAAAAAAATTTTAAAATCTGATTGGGGCGATTCCTTGTGAAAGTCTAATTTTTCAAATAAATTTAAAATTTTGATATTTAAACCATTCATAAATTTTAATAAATTATGATTATATCTAAAGTTTCATTGTTCAATTTTAACTAGTTAAAAAGTTATAAACTTGTTTTACTTTGCCATTAAACAATAACTTTGCCAATAAACTTAAACAATAAAAAATGAAAATAGTTAGGCATAGTTTGGTAATGTTTATGTTCTGTGTGCAATGGAAAAGTAACATGTAAATTTACTTATAGTAAAGTAAAGAATCTATAGAAACAATAAACAAATGATTTTCGCTCTTGTTTTTGATCTAAATATGTAAATAAAATGTAAAAAACACCCCAAGCATTTAAGTGCATGAAAAGCAGTGTTATAGTTTCAATGGGACATTGCTTTTCACTGTATTTAAAATCAATCCAAATTGAAATAATTTTAAACACCACTGTATTTCACTGTATTTAAAATCAATCCTAATTGAAATAATTTGGCAAAACGCAAAATTTAAATAGTAGACTTTTACAACAGTTAGGTTGACTGTTTGGTTAGAAATATACAAATTTTTTTTGTTGGAAAAAACTTTAATTGAAAATGTTTTACATACTTTGTGTTGAGAATATAATCAATTTCTTTTCCTTTGACTTGTGAGAAAATTGTTTGCTGTTCATTAACTAATTGTTCTGTTCGAGATGCAAGACACTGAATGCACATTGTTTTTAATGTTCCAAACATATTGCTAGTGCAATATAGTAATTGAGAAATAAACCTATAAAATATTTCTTAAACAGTATATGTTAATAAATAATAAAACAAAAAAACATAAAATAAAACAAACATAAAACAAAACAAACAATATGTTATAACATCTATTACTATTATTATTATTACCTATAACATCTATTACCTAAACCAAAAATAAAAAACAAAAAAAAAACTAAATATTGCAAAATCTACAAAAATTTATATAATGCATACCTGTCAACAACCATAGGATAATTTATTTGAATGCTATGCAAACAAACAATAAATTTTTCTTTGTTGTTTTTTGAAAGCTCACACAAGCTTCCTTGAACCATTTCTAAAAGAACCTTTGGAGACTCACACTTTGAAAAGTAATACTTAAGAGATATTCCACAAACTTCAGCGCATGTAGCATACACTTCTTTATAAGTAAATAATAAGTTATTAGACAAAGCAAGAAAATAATCATACTCAGTTAAACCAGAAATTTGAGTGGCAAACGGGGCAAAACCATTTGCTAAATAAAATTGTAAAATCTGTAATCCTCTTAAATTTTTTTTTGAATTTTGATCTGAAAAAGAAAAAAGTGAATAAATTAACTTGTAAGGACAAGTAACCCGATCTCGCCATGAACTAGATAATGCATTTATTAAGTACAAATTTGTTTGTAACACAGGGCTATCCAGGTTATGACAGTTTTTTACCAAATAATCAAGCAAACTGCTTGCTAATATAGATCCTGAAGCTGTATTTTCTGGTATATTCGGACTCCAAGATAACATGGTTTCAATCAAACCAACAACAAAATAGTTTAAATAGTCACCTAGTATTCTTTGACTTAACAATAATTCAATTATTGGAAGGAACCAGAACTGAGCATAGGGTTGAAAGAGCTAAAAAAAATTGTGCTTAAAACAATCAAATTGCATTACAATTAGTTATTTGTTAAAGCAAATTTTATTAGTTACATGAGTTGTATCACTCTTTAAACATTTTGAAAACACTTTATTTATAATTATTCAATAAAACTATCAACATTATTTTATATCTTAATTAGAGTAAAAAAAAAATTTCAAACTTTAACTTCTTTTATGGCAATGAAACTTTAAAAAAATATACAATTATAAATATAGACTCATACACATGCAAGGATATTTTAATAAATAGTCAAATAAAACAGTAAAATTAAAAAAGAAAGAAAAACATTTTACTAAAGTGTACACAAAAAAAAGTGTAATTTAAAATCAAATTAAAATACATATTGTTAAAAATAGTCTCATCTATGATATAATCAAAATACATATTATTAAAAATAGTCTCTCTAGGATATAATTAAAGCTCTGAGTCTGCTTAGGGTTGTTTATAAACAATGTACATACCAAAAAATATTCCACCATTCTAAGTAAAAGGTTTTATTTGACAAAGATAAAAATATATAGTAGTATTTCTATAATATATATTAATACTTCCACTACAGTGTGGTACAAATATATTAATACAGTATGGTACAAATATATTAATACAGTGTGGTACAAATATATTAATACAGTATGGTACAAATATATTAATACAGTGTAGTACATATATATTAATACAGTGTGGTACAAATATATTATTACAGTGTGGTATAGATCATTAAAGTAAGATCACATCAAATCTATTTTTTGACATTCTTTTCAATCAAAAAAATTACTATTATTAGTAATTAATTTAAAAAGAAATAATTTACAAAACATTGTTTTTTATTAATGAACATCATTATTGATAATAAAAAAAATATTAAAAAAAAACTTTTTAAAAACAATATTTTAAAACAGACAAAATATCGTTGAAGTCTATGACTGAAAATGTTAGACAACTAAGTCAACTCATTCCTATTGGCGCTCAACATTTTCAGTTATCAACTTTAATAGTATTTCAGGTTGTGGACATACACAAAGTCCTTGGGTCCCATGAAATAGTTTATTTTTTACTTTTTAGTCCATTTTTTTAAAATGTTGTTTTTAAAAAGTTTTTTAATATATATTTTATTTTTTACTTTTTAGTCCATTTTTAAAATGTTTCTTTTAAAAAGTTTTTTTTATTTGTTTTTTATTTTTTACTTTTTATTTCATTTTTAAAATATTGTTTTTAAAAAGTTTTTTTTATATATTTATTCTATTATTTAACAGCGATTCTATTTATACGCTAAACTAAAACGCTAAAAGTTTGTTGTTTATTGTTTGTTTTAATTGCTTTTCTTATTGATTTCTTTTATTTATGCTAAACTAAAGTCTGTTTGGCATTGTTTGTTTTAATTACTTTTTTTGGTTCAGGATGGTTAAAACAAAAAACGTTAAAGCAAAAAAGTTACTGGTTTTTATCAGCAAGCTTGACTATTAGAAAAAATTGTTATTAAAAACAACTTTTTTTATATATTTTAATATAATTAAATTAGTAAAATTAATAATATCAAATTGTTGATAAAATATTTATTTAAACCAATAATAAAAAGTTATTAAATACAACGTTTTAATAGCAAAGATAAAAAGCTGGCTGTAATATATAAAAAAAAAAAAGAACAAAGGAAAAATTTGTTTTAACACCTTTCATTTTTAAACTTTTTGCTTATAACAAGCTGCTACCATTTCTTAATGATTTTTTTTTATTATTACCATTGACCTCGTGTTTGTTTTGCGCGGACACCAAAAAATAAAAAAAATTAATAAACAAATAACCCGACAAGAAAGCAAGTTAAATAAAATGTTGTAATAATAGTCATCATTGATGATGATGGTCATCATTGATGATGATGGTCATCATTGATGATGATGGTCATCATTGATGATGATGGTCATCATTGATGATGATGGTCATCATTGATGATGATGGTCATCATTGATGATGATGGTCATCATTGATGATGATGGTCATCATTGATGATGATGGTCATCATTGATGATGATGGTCATCATTGATGATGATGGTCATCATTGATGATGATGGTCATCATTGATGATGATGGTCATCATTGATGATGATGGTCATCATTGATGATGATGGTCATCATTGATGATGATGGTCATCATTGATGATGGTCATCATTGATGATGATGGTCATCATTGATGATGATGGTCATCATTGATGATGATGGTCATCATTGATGATGATGGTCATCATTGATGATGATGGTCATCATTGATGATGATGGTCATCATTGATGATGATGGTCATCATTGATGATGATGGTCATCATTGATGATGATGGTCATCATTGATGATGATGGTCATCATTGATGATGATGGTCATCATTGATGATGATGGTCATCATTGATGATGATGGTCATCATTGATGATGATGGTCATCATTGATGATGATGGTCATCATTGATGATGATGGTCATCATTGATGATGATGGTCATCATTGATGATGATGGTCATCATTGATGATGATGGTCATCATTGATGATGATGGTCATCATTGATGATGATGGTCATCATTGATGATGATGGTCATCATTGATGATGATGGTCATCATTGATGATGATGGTCATCATTGATGATGATGGTCATCATTGATGATGATGGTCATCATTGATGATGATGGTCATCATTGATGATGATGGTCATCATTGATGATGATGGTCATCATTGATGATGATGGTCATCATTGATGATGATGGTCATCATTGATGATGATGGTCATCATTGATGATGATGGTCATCATTGATGATGATGGTCATCATTGATGATGATGGTCATCATTGATGATGATGGTCATCATTGATGATGATGGTCATCATTGATGATGATGGTCATCATTGATGATGATGGTCATCATTGATGATGATGGTCATCATTGATGATGATGGTCATCATTGATGATGATGGTCATCATTGATGATGATGGTCATCATTGATGATGATGGTCATCATTGATGATGATGGTCATCATTGATGATGATGGTCATCATTGATGATGATGGTCATCATTGATGATGATGGTCATCATTGATGATGATGGTCATCATTGATGATGATGGTCATCATTGATGATGATGGTCATCATTGATGATGATGGTCATCATTGATGATGATGGTCATCATTGATGATGATGGTCATCATTGATGATGATGGTCATCATTGATGATGATGGTCATCATTGATGATGATGGTCATCATTGATGATGATGGTCATCATTGATGATGATGGTCATCATTGATGATGATGGTCATCATTGATGATGATGGTCATCATTGATGATGATGGTCATCATTGATGATGATGGTCATCATTGATGATGATGGTCATCATTGATGATGATGGTCATCATTGATGATGATGGTCATCATTGATGATGATGGTCATCATTGATGATGATGGTCATCATTGATGATGATGGTCATCATTGATGATGATGGTCATCATTGATGATGATGGTCATCATTGATGATGATGGTCATCATTGATGATGATGGTCATCATTGATGATGATGGTCATCATTGATGATGATGGTCATCATTGATGATGATGGTCATCATTGATGATGATGGTCATCATTGATGATGATGGTCATCATTGATGATGATGGTCATCATTGATGATGATGGTCATCATTGATGATGATGGTCATCATTGATGATGATGGTCATCATTGATGATGATGGTCATCATTGATGATGATGGTCATCATTGATGATGATGGTCATCATTGATGATGATGGTCATCATTGATGATGATGGTCATCATTGATGATGATGGTCATCATTGATGATGATGGTCATCATTGATGATGATGGTCATCATTGATGATGATGGTCATCATTGATGATGATGGTCATCATTGATGATGATGGTCATCATTGATGATGATGGTCATCATTGATGATGATGGTCATCATTGATGATGATGGTCATCATTGATGATGATGGTCATCATTGATGATGATGGTCATCATTGATGATGATGGTCATCATTGATGATGATGGTCATCATTGATGATGATGGTCATCATTGATGATGATGGTCATCATTGATGATGAGGTCATCATTGATGATGATGGTCATCATTGATGATGATGGTCATCATTGATGATGATGGTCATCATTGATGATGATGGTCATCATTGATGATGATGGTCATCATTGATGATGATGGTCATCATTGATCATTGATGATGATGGTCATCATTGATGATGATGGTCATCATTGATGATGATGGTCATCATTGATGATGATGGTCATCATTGATGATGATGGTCATCATTGATGATGATGGTCATCATTGATGATGATGGTCATCATTGATGATGATGGTCATCATTGATGATGATGGTCATCATTGATGATGATGGTCATCATTGATGATGATGGTCATCATTGATGATGATGGTCATCATTGATGATGATGGTCATCATTGATGATGATGGTCATCATTGATGATGATGGTCATCATTGATGATGATGGTCATCATTGATGATGATGGTCATCATTGATGATGATGGTCATCATTGATGATGATGGTCATCATTGATGATGATGGTCATCATTGATGATGATGGTCATCATTGATGATGATGGTCATCATTGATGATGATGGTCATCATTGATGATGATGGTCATCATTGATGATGATGGTCATCATTGATGATGATGGTCATCATTGATGATGATGGTCATCATTGATGATGATGGTCATCATTGATGATGATGGTCATCATTGATGATGATGGTCATCATTGATGATGATGGTCATCATTGATGATGATGGTCATCATTGATGATGATGGTCATCATTGATGATGATGGTCATCATTGATGATGATGGTCATCATTGATGATGATGGTCATCATTGATGATGATGGTCATCATTGATGATGATGGTCATCATTGATGATGATGGTCATCATTGATGATGATGGTCATCATTGATGATGATGGTCATCATTGATGATGATGGTCATCATTGATGATGATGGTCATCATTGATGATGATGGTCATCATTGATGATGATGGTCATCATTGATGATGATGGTCATCATTGATGATGATGGTCATCATTGATGATGTGGTTCATCATTGATGTATGATGGTCATCATTGATGATGATGGTCATCATTGATGATGATGGTCATCATTGATGATGATGGTCATCATTGATGATGATGGTCATCATTGATGATGATGGTCATCATTGATGATGATGGTCATCATTGATGATGATGGTCATCATTGATGATGATGGTCATCATTGATGATGATGGTCATCATTGATGATGATGGTCATCATTGATGATGATGGTCATCATTGATGATGATGGTCATCATTGATGATGATGGTCATCATTGATGATGATGGTCATCATTGATGATGATGGTCATCATTGATGATGATGGTCATCATTGATGATGATGGTCATCATTGATGATGATGGTCATCATTGATGATGATGGTCATCATTGATGATGATGGTCATCATTGATGATGATGGTCATCATTGATGATGATGGTCATCATTGATGATGATGGTCATCATTGATGATGATGGTCATCATTGATGATGATGGTCATCATTGATGATGATGGTCATCATTGATGATGATGGTCATCATTGATGATGATGGTCATCATTGATGATGATGGTCATCATTGATGATGATGGTCATCATTGATGATGATGGTCATCATTGATGATGATGGTCATCATTGATGATGATGGTCATCATTGATGATGATGGTCATCATTGATGATGATGGTCATCATTGATGATGATGGTCATCATTGATGATGATGGTCATCATTGATGATGATGGTCATCATTGATGATGATGGTCATCATTGATGATGATGGTCATCATTGATGATGATGGTCATCATTGATGATGATGGTCATCATTGATGATGATGGTCATCATTGATGATGATGGTCATCATTGATGATGATGGTCATCATTGATGATGATGGTCATCATTGATGATGATGGTCATCATTGATGATGATGGTCATCATTGATGATGATGGTCATCATTGATGATGATGGTCATCATTGATGATGATGGTCATCATTGATGATGATGGTCATCATTGATGATGATGGTCATCATTGATGATGATGGTCATCATTGATGATGATGGTCATCATTGATGATGATGGTCATCATTGATGATGATGGTCATCATTGATGATGATGGTCATCATTGATGATGATGGTCATCATTGATGATGATGGTCATCATTGATGATGATGGTCATCATTGATGATGATGGTCATCATTGATGATGATGGTCATCATTGATGATGATGGTCATCATTGATGATGATGGTCATCATTGATGATGATGGTCATCATTGATGATGATGGTCATCATTGATGATGGTATTGATGGTCATCATTGATGATGATGGTCATCATTGATGATGATGGTCATCATTGATGATGATGGTCATCATTGATGATGATGGTCATCATTGATGATGATGGTCATCATTGATGATGATGGTCATCATTGATGATGATGGTCATCATTGAGATGATGATGGTCATCATGATGATGGTATGATGATGGTCATCATTGATGATGATGGTCATCATTGATGATGATGGTCATCATTGATGATGATGGTCATCATTGATGATGATGGTCATCATTGATGATGATGGTCATCATTGATGATGATGGTCATCATTGATGATGATGGTCATCATTGATGATGATGGTCATCATTGATGATGATGGTCATCATTGATGATGATGGTCATCATTGATGATGATGGTCATCATTGATGATGATGGTCATCATTGATGATGATGGTCATCATTGATGATGATGGTCATCATTGATGATGATGGTCATCATTGATGATGATGGTCATCATTGATGATGATGGTCATCATTGATGATGATGGTCATCATTGATGATGATGGTCATCATTGATGATGATGGTCATCATTGATGATGATGGTCATCATTGATGATGATGGTCATCATTGATGATGATGGTCATCATTGATGATGATGGTCATCATTGATGATGATGGTCATCATTGATGATGATGGTCATCATTGATGATGATGGTCATCATTGATGATGATGGTCATCATTGATGTTGATGGTCATCATGGATGTTCATCAATATATCAATACATTAGGAATATGAATAAACTTACTTTAGGTTCATTGATAACAATTCTTGCAATGTATAACACAACATTGAATTCAGTATCTTTATTTGTTATCTTCCCATGAAAATAAGTCATCCAAGGCGGCATATCTTTAACTTCTTTATCATTTGGTTGGATATATATATTTTTGTTTCTCATATGGTTGATTAAAGAAATATATTTACTCATGCATTCATGTTGATTTAATTCATCAAGCTCTAAAAAACTTTCCACTGATTCCTATTATAAAGACAAGTAAATCATCAATTTCCAAAAGTTATTTCATAAAAACAAATATACATAACTATGAAAAATATAGTTGTGAAACTAATTAGAAACTTGTTTTAAAATACAAGACAATTGAGACAAACCAGGATGAGAAATGAGACAAACCAGGAAATAAAAATTCAGATTTTACTTATTCGCATTTTATTTTTATTATTCAGATGTAAATTGTACTGCAATTAAAATTATAAACATTATGGTCATTTATCATTCAAAAATTTATAAATAAAAACCTTCCATCTTGCAAAAATAAAACGACTTGACTTGTTTTCACAAGATGGAAGCCATCATGGAACAAGATGAGCAAAAGGAAGTGAGCAAAAAACTAAAACAGTAGCGTTTTTCAAATTGTACTTTAAAAATATAAAAATAGGCATTTAAAAATTCCAGAGACTTAAATAATAAGAAAACAAATAAAACTCGAAAAATTTGATATTTGCAATTTTTATCTATTTATTTAACGCTAAAGTAAAAAAAATTACAAATTTAACTATAACCTTACAAAATCAGGTTCAGAGTCATTTACAGTTAAAAAGTAGATATTGGAGTGACACATTAATAAAATAAATAAATAGAAGAAATAAAAAAAAGGTAATAATAAAGATAGTAGGCAGGTTGAATAAAAAAAGCAATTGGTTTTACTCAGCAATTTTTGAGCAGTTGCTCAGCTTTAATGAATGAATGAGATAATACAATGCTTAATAAGATATGATCATAAGAATGATATATATACATATATATATATATATATATATATATATATATATATATATATATATATATATATATATATATATATATATATATATATACATAAAGAAAACTGATCTTAAAAAGAAAAAACTTATCTTAAAAAGATAAAAAGAAAACTTAAAAAAAAAAAATATCTAAATAAACATGTATATGAAATAAATGTGAAAGAATAAATACCCCATTTTTTTGGAGGTTGTATTAATATATTTTTAATTGTGTGTGTATTTTGTTTACAACATGTTGTGGTTTTAAAAGATGTTTTAGTTTTTGCTTAAAATTTAAAAATGACAAAAAAAGAAAACACTAGAGAAAACATTACACACAAATATTAGGAAAATCTAATAACAACTGTAATTGAATTAGGGTTTGTAAATTTACCTACTTTTTCATTTTTCGGTAATTCAGTAAATGAAATTTGAAAAACCAGTATATCTGTCAAATACCGGTAAATATAGTGATATCAATAGATTAATACAAATATAACAATGAAATACCATTTTTATTAAATAGAATTTTTCAAAAAGTAACTTAGTAAAAAGCTTAAATTATCTAAAGTCTTGTCTCCTAACCAAGATCTAATTTTAGCACAAATTAGTTCAGCTCTCGAAAATACTCTTTACAGTTCAATATTTGTTGGACAAATGGCCAATAATAAACTATTTAAATTTATTTCCCATTTAAATTTTCTTGTTGAATGTACTCTAACTCAATTTTTATAACTTCTTTTTTGATAAAAAAAGATCTGAAATTATTTATATTATCTTAAATTTATTATCTATTTAAAAGTGATTGTTAAATATATTTAATAGTGATCTTTCTTCTAAGATATTTATTTCTTAATTCTTTGTTTTGTTAATAAAAAGATGAAGTTTTTTGTTAATAAGAAGATGAAGTTTTTTCCTTCATAGAAAAATCAGCATTTGGTTTAACACTAATGAGGTTGTTATTTAAATCTGAATCCAATTTATCATTTAAGTGTTTAGGACTACTATCTCCAGATTCGGCATTAGTGTACAAGATACTTTCTGCAATGTCAACAATATTTTTAACGATTGAAGGCTTAATGTTGATGTTAAAAATACCATAATAGTCTTTAACAGAAACAACCACATTAGGTTCTTTTACATAGTGTAAAACGTTTGAAAACATCTTTTTTTTTCTTTTTAGTAGAACTTTTAACTTTTTTTTTTAGTGTTTTGGTAACTTAATTCATCTAGCATAAACTTTAATGTTAGATTGGCTACATATAAATTAACCTTTTTAGTGCAGAGTGTTTCAATAGTCAACTTAATAGGTTACAAGCTTAATATTATATTTGAAAGTAATTTTACTTCACTTTCATTAAAATTTATGCCCATTTAAAAATATCAGACTTTTAAACAATGTTTTTAAGCTTTAAAAATCTTTCCAGCAGTTTAATAAACTATTCCATCTAGCTTTACAATCTAAAATTAGAGGAATTTTATTTTCGACAATCTAAAATTAGAGAAATGTTATTCTGACAGTTTCTTGAACGTATTTTTGCAATAGTTTATCATTCTTGGTTGGTGATTTTTTGAACTACAATTTTTTCGAATTTTTGTAATTAAAGAATTTACTTCTGCGTTTTGTAGAACAAGATGAGTAGCCTCTACTGCTTCATGGTCTACTTCAAAACTTTCAAATTCAATTTCCCATTAATCAGAATCAGAATCAACATTAAGTATTACATTAGCATCACATTCATTAACATCTTGTACATCTGTTGTACTAATATTATAAAGTACTTTTATTATTTCTAATTGTAGGCCATGTTTGATACATAACTGATGGTTTTTACTAGGTAACTTTACTGTTCTCTTATTAACATCAGCTCTGTCTGATGTTATGCAGACAATACTTGCTAAAGCTATATTGAACTCTATTAGCTTGTTTTCAATGAGTTCTTTGCATACCGCAGCAGGTGATGATCCATAAATCCGACTCAATCCATAGTTATAAAAATTATCTCAATGTAGCCTTTTGCTTTCAATAGCATCTTAAAATCTTCAGATGTACAAAATTTACTGAAATGAATGCCATCTTTTGCAATCATTCTTGAAAGTACAGCTTCAAGAAATTCATCATTTTTTTTGCTACAGCAATTGCTGTTCTTTTGAGTGTTTTTCTATATTTCTTCTTACCACATGTATTTTATGTTGAGTCTGTTGATAGACCATTAGTACTTCCACCTGCTTTTTTTTTGGACTTACTACTGTGGAGTACTTCCACCTGCTTTTTTAATTCTCTTTTAACATTGTTTATATAAGGCTACATCTCTCTTTTATGTAAAATAATAATAATTCCAAACTGAACTTTTATCCATTTAGAGGTATCGTAGATCTTTAAAATGAAACATAATGTAAATAATTTTCTTTAACAATAAAAAAATGTCAGCAATCGAAAAAATATTCTAAATTGATTTTACAAAATAAGCCAACTTCTAAACATCTATATCATTGCAAATATTTTTAACTAGAAACAATAAAAAAAAAAAAAAAAAAAAAAAAGTGCTTTATACTCTTGAGATTTATGTTATTGACAAGAAAATGACAAGAAAATGACAAGAAAATGACAATGTCAAGAAATATTCAATTTTTTAACTTTAGTAGCGCATTCTTTATTGTATTAAAAAAAAATCGATTTTTAAACGAGTTGAATTATTTCTGCCACTTGCTGTGTCATTAGTTACTCAAAAAGATGTGAAAACTAATGTGGATTTAAAATTTATAAAGTTTTCTTTTGGAAAATCAACTTTTAAAAGAAGAAGACATATAGATTGGATTAAAGCTTAAGATTTCATAACATTGATGTTGCTCTAATCTCTAGTTTGATTCAAAAAAGAGAAAAGTATGCCAAAGTATATAAATGAGGATCCTTATCAATATTATCATCTATGATATAGAGATTGATAACTATACTGAGAAAATAAATTATGACGACAAACCACCTAATAATAAGTCTTCTACTTTTTAAATATTTTTAAAATAATATTTATAAAGCAGAATTTTATACTTTTTACAGTCAATTAATACAGTACTAAACTTAATTGAAATACTGAACTTTGAAAAATAAGCTTGATTTAAACAAAGTAAATTATAAAAAAGATTTAAACTTGATTTATCTAACATCAGATGAACAAACAACTTTTTCTTTCAGACTTATCTCAAATGGTAATGTAGCTCTTAAAAAAGTTAAAACTTACTTCACTCACACTTGATGTTGGAGGACCATCTTTATTTTGTGTTTATAAAGCACAATATAATAAAAAAAATTAACTTCACAATAGCAAACTTGGTTTAGTTATAAACATATAAATACCATTAAATGCCTAATTGGTATATAATAAAAACCAGCTAGGGCAACTAGTTTTTTATCTTCTGACTGGGTGATTGTGTATCAGACAGATGACTATATCAGATTGAACTTTTATCAGAAACTTAAACCTGGTGGTTATACTCTTGCTGATAGAGTGCAAATTCTTATCACTTACTGCTTTAATTTGATAACTATTGTGTTTTTTATATGTAAAATAATGTGACACAATATCTTAGGTTATAAATTTATTAAATTGCTGAATAAAGCCTTTATACCAGCTTGAGTTTTAGTTTCCTATTATTAATTCACTACTCCGGAACTTGATATTAAAAATGCTATTGGGGTAACATTAAAAATCATAGCTTTTACAAAAGACTACAATTATCTGGACGCAAAATCTAGACAGCTTTCTAATGTTTCTATACATAATATTCATAAATAGAGGAAGCTAAAAGGAAGATAAGGGTGTATAAAATGTTTCCTGTTAATTATAAAACTGAGAGGATCACTCAATTTTTTAAATAATACGATGTTGAATATGAATGCCTTTGATCATTCTAATTAGTCCAGTTGATTAATGTAAATGCATATAATCAGTTTCCTAAAACTTTAACATACAAGTCAACAAAATATTTCACATAGCCACCCAAAAACATAAACTTGTTTCAAAAGTGCTTTCATTAACTTTTAAATAATGATGTTATTATGAAACTCTAAAAATACATTTTTTGCAATCTTATTTTGATTGTCAATTCAAATATGAACTTATAGTTTGCAACTGAATCAATCAAAATCCACTAAGTTTTGCATAATTTATTTAATTTCCTGACTTTAGCAGGATGTCCAGTCATCAGATGTCAGATGTTGCTGGTCACCCTGATTATATAAATAATAAAACTAAATTTATAGAAATTTATTTAATTATTTACAGATTAAAAATCTAAATAAATTTTAAAGGGGTATTAGTTTTAACTTGTTTATTGTCTGGTTTAAAAATCTTTTCATTGCCTATTTGTACAACTCATTTTGTTACAACACAAGTGTAAAGTTTTTAAAATTACCTAATTTTTTTTCAATGCTATAATTTTTCTAATAATAGGTCTTTTTCATTTGCTGCTAACAATGCTACCATTTTCTATTGATCTGTTACTATTGCTTGTTTCAATTGGCAACATTAGGTGTCTCTAACAGCTGCACCTCAGATGCTAAATTACTACTTTTTAAAAACATTTAACTATGATGTTGTTATTAATTAAAAGATTTTAAAAGCAATATGAATTGAAAAAGTTTACAAGAATTATTGTTGTTGCTTTATGAGATCAATCTGAATATAAAATTTACTGATAGTAAAGAACATAAAATAAAGAACATAAAATAAAGAACATAAAATAAAGAACATAAAATAAAGAACATAAAATAAAGAACATAAAATAAAGAACATAAAATAAAGAGCATAAAATAAAGAACAAAAAATAAAGAACATAAAATAAAGAACATAAAATAAAGAACATAAAATAAAGAACATAAAATAAAGAACATAAAATAAAGAACATAAAATAAAGAACATAAAATAAAGAACATAAAATAAAGAACATAAAATAAAGAACATAAAATAAAGAACATAAAATAAAGAACAAAAAATAAAGAACATAAAATAAAGAACATAAAATAAAGAACATAAAATAAAGAACATAAAATAAAGAACATAAAAGTTTTTAATAGCATATAAATTTAGAAAAGTAATAGAAAAGTTCTATTTTTACAATGTAAAAAAAATGTATCTAATTATTTATGTAATTAGTTACATTTTTTATGTAACTAATTAATTCATTAATTTTTAAACAGAAGACAATATTTTGTTTAAGGATATAAAAGAAATGCAAAAATACACTTATAAAGTGTATTTATATTATGAACTTATGAATGCATACTTTAAAGTTTTAATGTTTTCTGCCTACAAGTATGTGTGCGCGTAATATTTATAAAAAAATGTGACGTTGCACGGAAAGTCATATATAGGAAAAGCAGATAAGAAATTTAAATACACAAAACATAAGTTTGCTAAAAAAGTCTTTATTTGGCAAGCTATTTGCAGGTGTAACAAATATATGTTAAAGAGTGTTTACAAAAACATCTTTTACCTTTCATTAAAGTATATGATTATAGTGTTGTAGACATGTGTTCTGACTTCAAGAGATTATAGTTACCTGGTTATGGGATGATATAAACAAATTTATGTGAAAGTTATGCCTAAAAAAGTGAATCCTCTAAACTGCCCAGAATCAAAAGTTATTGAAAAGGACTGAACAATTCTTAAATGAAAAATGAAAAAAACAATAAACTTTGCATAAACATTAAAGATTTGAAAATAGTATTCAAAAACAACATCTTTTAATTTCTCGATAATTTTAGTGAACATAAAGTAATAAAATGTTACTAATAAAAGCAAAATTATAAACAAGTTTGTAAACCTCTTCATTAGAGAGACTTTTTTCTTCATTATTTGTGTAAGGCTTGAATGGTTTATTGATGCTAAACTCCATTACTTCTTGACTTAGGCTGCTCTCCATCAAGAACCGGGATGGATTGTTTGATAAAATATATTCTATAAATAAATTTATATTGAAATAAATTATAAGTAAATTAAATTATTCACAAATTTTTTTTATTGAGAAAAACTCACAGCTTTTAAGCTGAAGGTCATATTAAATTATATTAGCTCTTTATAAATTTAAAATACAAAAATATTAGTAATAATACTATTAAAAATAACTAATATACAAAATATTATTAAACATAATTAAATACAAAACATGCATTTATTTACAATTATAGCTATTTACCAATTAATACATACATATCTTCCTTATTTCAAAGGTTTACATACATATTTCCCTCATTATGATCATCTATATTTTATTATTTTAATGTATAAAGCAAAATATGGCTTAACAAAGTACCAAATTGTATTAATGTGTTCTAAAACTACATAATTGAAAATTGCTCGAAAGTTGGTATTGTATGAATGAGTGATCGTACAAAAGATTTATAGAGTTAGAAATTGAAATCAGAAGTTGTAAATATGGTTCAATTAAAGGTTTGCAGAGAATGATATTTCATGATAATGCATGATAATTCATGAATAAACAAAGTAATGAGCTAAGTTAGAGACAGAAATCTGGAAAATAATTCTGTAAGACTGTGACAGAAATTTTATCTGGACCACAAGCTGTAGAAGAGCTCATGTGAGAAGAGTTTGACTAACAAATAAAAAACTAAACAGGTCACAAAAATAACTATCTGAATAAAGAATGAAAAAGAGACTATCTTAGGAAGTAAAAAGGCCAGTGGCCAAGTAGGGTAAGTAAAACAAATCCATTTAGTGTGATGAGCAATAAAAATATTGCCTAATTGATATAGAAAAAAGGGTTAGGTCAACTTGATTAGAAATAACATTAAAAAAAGTGCATATTAGGGAAGGAGAACAATAAAAAATAAAAAGCAAGGTAACTGAGTAAGCAAGACGACATAGGCCACATATAAGAATAGTCAAAGGATTCAAACCAAAAAAAAAACTCAATTCAAAAAAATTTTACAACAAAAAAGTGAATTGATACAAAATTATATGCCTAGACCAAACGTGTGACTATTGAAGTCTTAGTTAATTAAAGAATAATAACATCAACAATAGGATCTGGAAATAGTACAACTGAATTTATAATATAATCAATTTTAGCATGTAGGTCTGGTGAATTTTTAAGATATGAATCAACGGAAAAAATTTACTTTGAGACCACAAATATTTGTAAAGAATAGATTGAAATAAGTTAATAATGGTAATGATATTAATGATAATAATTATAACACCATCTGGTAATGATGGTATTATTTACACAAAAGAGTTCAAGAAACCATACTACAAGCTGGTACAAGAACCATTAAACTGAGTTTTAGAGCTGTACTCTCATCAGCAAATACCAGGAAGAGGAGGCACATCAAGGAGGCAAAAATCTGGAGTAGAATCAAGAAAATCATGCATTTATCTAAGCAAGAAACAATGTAACACAGGTTTATACCTATGCCAGCCTAATAAATAAAGAATTTTAGCTGGAACAGCATGCTTTAACTTTAAAACAACAAGACTTTTTTTGTTATTCACTTCCTCAAGGCCAAGAAGGCCACTACAGACAAGGAGGCTACTTAATAGTGGTTATAACCCTCACTCAACTCTATAACTCCGAAACACGAACCTTGACGAACAAGGCCGCTGCACAGAGAAACAAGTTAACTTTTAAACTAGTTAGAAAAGTATTGTCAGGAAATGTTGCTTAAGTTACTATGGTAATTTCATAACTATACTTTAACTAAGGTTTTTAAACTAGTTAATCATTAAATATGGTAACTATAAGACATAAAGACAATCCTAATAGGTAACTTTACCATTCTCTTCTCTTTGATTTGGTTGGTGTCCAAGTTCACAAGATGCCTTTCTTATAAGTGGCATTACTTTCATTTTTTCAAATGAAACATTTGATTTAAAATTGTATTCTTTTTTTAAATCAACAAGATTTTCGAGCACAAAGGAGCCCTGTAAACAATAAATTGTGAAAAAAGAGAAATTTGAAGAATATTAAAATATAGCATTTTATATAAGTTTAAAAAAATATTGTCATTATGTAAAAAATCTAATGAAAATCTAAAAAAAAAAAGAAAAAAAGAAAAAAAAAGAAAAAAAAAGAAAAAAAAGAAAAAAAAAGAAAAAAAAACCTTCAGTAAATTTTCAGCAAAAAGTAACCCAGCAAAAAATTTCATTTCATTTTGTGTACATGATATGATAGAAATCAAACAGTTATAAGCTGAACAGTGATACTTTCTTTGCAACTCCATGTTATTTTCATTGTAACTCTCTTTGTATGATTGTGAAGCACTCCTAATATAAAATAAAAGTTAAATTTAAATTTAATTCATAGTAAGTTTTGTTTTTGCCTTTTTTAATCAACTTTAAAAATGTCTAAAATGAAGAGTAAAATAACTAAATGTAGAAATTATATACTTTAAATGTACTTAATGTAGACATTATATACTTTAAATGTACTAAATGTGGACATTATATACTTTAGTTATATTTTAGTAAAATCGAATAAGAAAAACAAAATTGGTTACATAAAGTTATAAAAATTTTTAATTAAATTTTATGTGAAATTATAACGACACCACATACCAATGAAAGTCAAAGTTAATTTGCAGGTAAATTTATTCTAGTTGTGACCATATTACTTTTTTCTATAAAAACTAAGTGGGTTAAGCTACTTTTTCCTTCTAAGGTTGCTGCAGCTACTTTTCTCCCCTCTGCTTTCTTTCCTTTTTTTTCAGAAATTAAAAGAAAAGATAGCTTCAAGGTGGTTTTTGCGTTAAAAACTTTCCATAGTTTCTTGTTTTCCTTTGTTCAGCATTTCAATATTGAAATTTTTTTGATATCAGCTCTTTACATTTAAACTGTATTTACAAAAACAATTGTATTTAATTATAATTATAATTATATTTATATAATTGTATCAATTGTATTTATATAACACTATGAGAAGCTGTTTTAATTAGCAAGAGATACTGTTTTAATGTAACCTTTTTTTCCGACATTTTTGCATTTTACCAATCTAAGGTTTTGTTTCATTTCCACATAACATATACTTAAATTGTTGAAATTCTGGTTTAAGCATTTTAAATTCAGAATTTCAAAAATTTTTTCTGAACCTTTGTTAGCAGCCATTTTGAATTTGATTAAAGGTTTCCAATATACATCGTCAGAGAGTTAATTGCTGCTCTACCAAGAATCATTAGTAATGCTTGGGAAATTATTTTTAATTATTCTTGCACCAATATTTGTTTTCATTGTTTCAGAAATTAAAACAATCATTGAAATAAATTGACCAGATAAACTATATTAGGTGGTTTAATATTTAGGCCCGCATAAGGATTCAGGTTGACCTTCACAGAGATCACATCAACAGAAATCAAGAGTGGGGGAGGGGGTGTTGGTTTTTAAAGGTATTTGCTCATTTAGTCATCCCATATTAACTATTTATTAATTAATTAAATAACATATAACTATTACTTATTAATTATTTTATTAAACCATAAGAAATAAGGTTTAAAAAATTACAATGGTTATTGATGCTAATAGAAGAATTGATTTAATAACAAAATTATTTGATGTCTTTAAGGTATATTTTTTACTGTAGGGAAAATTTATGCATGCACATTGAATTTATTGGTTGAAGCAGATATTTTTGCATAAGTATTATAACAAAATTAAATGTAAAACATATAGACTTACTTTGACAAAAAAACCGTCAGTTCTTTGCCAGTAGAAGAATTTGGACAAAAAGTTTGAACAATCGTTGATGTGGCTGAAGTCAACTCTTCCTTGCCAAGTAACTCATACATCAATGACAAAACATTAAAGCTACATATCTTGTTGATCAGCTGACTTGCTAACTTAGACTGCAGTAATTTATTAAATTTCTCATCAATATGTGAAGTAAAAACTAAAATGTTTCTTTGAAAAAATTGTTTCAAACTGATCCAAGAGACTTCATTTAGTAAAGGAATACAGACTCTATCAATGATAACAGCTCTAATATCATCTGCATACTTAGATTCATCATTAAACATTTTAACACTCAAGTCCAATACAATATCAACATCATTTTCCTTTAAACTTAAAACAAGGAATGAAAAAAAACAACTAACAATATATCTAACAATAAAATATCTGCAGAAAAAAACAACAAAGAAATTTACTTTTTTGCAAACATTTGCAATGCAGGCAAAATTACTTTTTCGTATACACTTTTTACTTCTCGAACAAAAACACTGACAAGAACTTCAAATAACAATGGACTAGATGAATTAACCAACACTCTCAAAAACTAAATTGTAAGAAAACATTATTTTAATATTTTATGATAATTTTATACATTATATACAACAAATTACAACAACTATACTATTATAGTAATATAATACATATAATTCTCAAAAACCTTAGCTATATGAATGTTACCTGTGATAAACAGCTGGTGTACTCAGCATATTTTAAACTTCTTATTTGTAACTCATCTGAATTAACAGGAAAGTCATTTGCAACAACATGTTCTAATGCTACTTTAAAATCAGCACATTGCTGGCTTGAGCCTTTTTTGAATATGTGAGGGGAGCAAGAAATGACTTTCTCCTTGACTGCTAAAGAGTTTTTTGAATCGAATAGCACTTCTATTAGTGCATTTAAAAAAGGAAGATCTTTCAATGTACCCTACCAATTTTTAACATTATTTGTTTAAATTTTACAGAAAGTATTCTTACATAAAAAACTTCATTAAAAATACAAAAAAAGATTAATTAAAAATAAATGTATAAGAACATTAAAACAAATGTAAGAACACAAATATAAATATAAGAACAAAAAAATAAACACAAGGACACAAAAATAAAATTGGCGCAAAAAATTTATCAAATGTTACCAAATAATTACCAACTATCTTTAACTTTGAAGCTCGATTTAAAAATTACTAATTTTAAAAATATATTTAAATAATATACCACTATATTATTTTTCATTAAAGTTGTTTCTTTGTGTTCGATAGCTCAGTTCTTTTTATTTTTTCAAAGGTGCTTAACTTACCCCTACTAGAAAAGGTGACACATTAGTTACATTTTAAAAAGAACAGTAAGACTTAAAAAAAAACAATTAATTTTATTCGAAAGTCCATTAAATTGGTAAAATATCAGCACTTAAGTGATGGCAGATGAAAAATTTTATAAACATTCAAGAGAAAAATAGCAAAAAAAAATTATTTTTACTTTTTTGCTCCAAAATAGAAAAAGTGCCGATGTATCTTACTCAATTGCTTTCCAGCAATCTTTTGTTGCGCATTGTGCTAACATTCTAATTCCCTAACTTTCATCCATCAGATGTTTTGTCATGTGTTGCATAGTTTTTGATATATTTCAATTGCCTAACTTTCCCCTATGCTACACTAGCCCCGGTCTAACCTACTTTATTGACTGAATATCTTTTTAACATACATACCTCAAACACATTCAAGATTAGTATAAAAATATCCAAAACTTGTATTTGTGTTTTTTCAAATCTGATTCCTGTGGCAAGCTTTTCAGGATATTTTAGAAATTGAAAAGTAAATTGTTGAACACTGTAAAAAATGAAATATATAATATTCAAAATTGACTTAAAAACAAAAATAAATAATTAAATTAAAAATAAAATTAGAATATAATTTTACTAAAAAAGACAAAAAACAAAAAAACAGAAAAAAATTTTATAAACAGAAAAAATTTGAAAAAAATTTTTTTAGATTGGTGCCTGGGTAAAAGTAAAAAAATACAACTATATACATAATTATTAATTATTCAAGGCCAGATTTACACCGTTGTTGGCCCTAGACTGAATTAATTTTGGGGAGCCTCAAAAATAATTTAAATAAAAAACATATAGTATATAGAAAGAATTAAATTGTTTATTATTTGTTTTGTATCTTTAATTCTTTAGTTTAGCGGTACATCTTTTATTTAGATTTGTTCTAGAATAAAAACCGTGCAGAACTCTCCAAGGGGTTTAGTGTGGCAATCGTTATTGATTGTGCAAATAGAACTTTACAAAATTTTAATAATCAATCTTTTTTATATTCATAATAAAAAGAGGGGTTATTGTTGTTTAACAACCATTACAAATATTTGAGTAATATTTTTTAATTACTCCCTAACAACCCTAGCAAACATTTAATAAAATCTATTTTTGGGCCCTTAAAATTGTGGGGCCCTAGGCTACAGTCTAGTTAGCCTATAGGTAAATATTGTATTGATTTTATTATAAAATATCTTAATCAAATGTCCTCAAAAGTTGTTGCAGAAGTCAAGTGTCTTCTGAAGAGGTGTATTTACATAGTAATTTATATACCAAACCAATTTTTAGTCGACATTTGTTCAACATATTAACCAATAATTTATATAACATTGGAATATTTTTTTTAATTAAGGTTTTGATAAAAGATATTGTTTTTGCTGCACACAATTAAACTTTGTGCTGCAAAAGCAATACATATACACCAGTATTATAAAAATTAGTAACTTGTTTCCAACAAATTTATTTCAGATAATTTTATTGAAAATCAAATCAAAATCAAATCAAATCAAATATATTTATAACATTTCAAGGAAATTTACAATAGTACAAGTGCTAATATAAAGTAAATACCTTAATATACAACATAACATTATAGTCAATGATGAAAATAGTAATAATAAGTGATAAATAATAATAATTGTAATAAGAACAATAATAGCAACAACAACAACAATAATAGTAATACTAATAATAACTATTATAATAATAGTTACAAAATGATAATAGAATAGTTGAATAAAGAGATAAATAAATAGATAAATAAAGAGTGCCAAAATATTGGTACTAATATTAATATTAGAATGAAAAATTTAATAAAGTTTAAAAATGGCAGATAGAAAACCAGAGGATTTAGATGTAGATGGATAAGTAGAGAATTTCAAAATGTTAAAAATATCAAACTAAAAACTGAAGGATCACGAATTAGTATATATAATAAATAATTTCAATACTAATTTGTAGAAATATTTATTAAAGCTTGATTTTGAACTCAGAGATTGAATTTAAAGATTTTAGATCAGGAGGTAGTTTGTTCCATGAGCTAATACATTGATATTTAATGGATTTATTTCCATATTTAGCAGAGTGGTGTTTTGGAAGGACTAAGTTTAAGCCACTGATGGAGCAAAGAGGATAGTGACAATTTGTACTTGTAAAGAAATTGTTGAATGATAGGAGAAGGTTTTTCTGATGATAAATCCAGACAAATTGGCAGTTAAGAAATACCACAAGTCGCTTAATTTTAATATATTGGAGATTTGGTATAGGACATTAGATTTAAAGTTATTATACTGAAAATATATTATTTTCAAGGCTTTATTTTGGAGATGGGACAACCTTAAAATGATTTGTTTATGGGATTGTCCCCATACTTGACATGCATATCTTAGATGGGATCCAAAAATAGCATGATATATATTTAGCAGAGTTTCTAGATTTACATAATGGCAAACTTTGGCTAGCATTTCATTAGATCTGCTGAGTTTTATTACTAAGTCATTCAGATGGCTTTGAAAAGAAAGATTAGAATCAATTTTAATCCCAAGATATTTAATAGAGTCTAAAGGATAAAATAGAGTCTAAAGGATAGATTTAATAGAGTCTAAAGAATAAAAAGCAGTTGCAAATTTAAAAGAAGTATTTAAGTCATTATTAAAAAGAAGAACAAGAAGTGGTCCTAAAACTGAACTTTGTGGGACGCCATTTGAGCAATTCTGTAAGTCAGATTTAGTGCCTATAGTGGAAACAAACTGTGTTCTGTTTTGGAGATATGAAGTAAACCATATTAGTGGGATGCCTTTGATTCTATAGTATTCCAATTTTGTGAGAAAAATAGAGTGATCCACAGTATCAAAAGCTTTTTGCAAATCTATAAACACACCATATGCAAAGTGCTTATTATCTAGAGCTCTTCTAATCTTCTCAGTAATTTCAATAAGTGCAAGGGTTGTGGAATGTTTGCTTCAAAATCCATATTGATGTTGTTACAAGCAAATTTTTCTAAAAACTTGTACTGCCTGTTATGGCTTCTCAAAAAGGTTGCTTAGGTTGGAAAGAAGGGAAATGGGTCAATAGTTAGAAAATTCTAGTAAGGAGCCTTTTTAATAAATACCTTTTATACCTTTCCATGTATTGTTCATGTTATTATTAAAATAAGTTATATAGTATGATTTTTTACTACTTTTTCATAAGTTGCTAATTTTATTTCTATAGAATTTAAATTTTGTGAAAAGTTCATTTTTAGTATTAATGTTTTTACATCTTGCAAATTTTTTATAGTTTGTTTTTTACAGAAATAGATTTAAATAAGCCTTTAGAGATCCAGGGTTTAGATTTTAGTTAAAGTTCTATAGGGGGCATATTAGTCTAAAACCTTTTAAACATTTTTAAAAATTGATTGATGGATTTAATAATATTGTCATCTTTTTTAATCATAAGCATCCAGTTGATTTTAGAAATTTCTAGAATAAATTTAATAGGGTCTAACTTTTTTAGACATTGTCTAAAAATTTTAACTTTATTTAGTTGGCTAAATGTGCCAGGAACACAGACAAATAGTGTCGTGTTATCCGAGATAGTTAAGTTATCTGACAGATATAATCAGAAGAGTAGAAGTTCATAAAGATATTACCAATGAGTGTTTGAGATTTAGCTGTTATATGAGTAGGTAGGATTATGGAAGGATTAAACGAGTAAGAACATAAGGTATCAAGGTAGTTCAATAAATTCAATACAACATTTTAAATTCCATTTTAAAACTCCATTTTTAACTCCATTTTAAACTCCAACATTTTTTCACATTCATGAATTCAATACAACATTTTTAACTCCACTTCTTGAAAAGTTAATCAAAGAACAAAAAATTATTAGATTCACTATAGCTCAATAGATCTGCTCTTGAGCTATAGTGAATCTAATAAATTTTTGTTCTTTGCTTAACTTTTCAAGAAGTGGAGTTAAAAATGTTGTATTGGATTCATTTTGATTCATTGATGGATGATGGTATATACAACCAATAAGAACGTTTGTTTTGTGGGGCTTAATAATTTCAACAAAAACAGATTCAAGTAATTGGTAAGGTATGATATTTAATGTGCTGATTCAAGTAATTTTTGAAGGTATGATATTTAATGTGCTGATAAGACTGCACAGGTAATCGATGTGATAAGGAAGTGATGCAATGTTAAGGTGAAGATATAAATCTGAATTAGGTTTGATAGCTTTATTAAAGTCAATAACATCATAGAATTTAAAATTTATAGCAGAACCAAAGATTGTATTAAGTTCTTTAAGTTTGTTTCTTGAATGAATTGGAGATACAAGAAAATTTGATGATACAGTTTGTGGATTTTTGTATAATAATGTTATTAAGAGCTCATTATCAGTAAGATTACCAAACAGCATGTTTTTAGATATACAGTTGAAACAATACCATTCTGAAGAGTCTTTAGCGAGAAGATTATAAGTGAGCAAATTTATTTGGTTGCACTTGCATGAACCCATAAACTGTAGCAGTCACAAAAAATGGCTTTGTAGTTAACTGTTACAGTTTTAAAGCATAAGATGCAAAGAAAACAAGTTTACTATTTTCCAAAAAAAGAGTGCCCTACATAACGAGCTAATGAGGTAGCAGCAATCATTTAAGTAAAATACGTTTGTTTATTTAGCAAAAATAATAGCTTAAATAAAACTTAAATAGAAGGTTTTCAAAAACCCACTAATCTCAGACAGTTAAACCATCTGCACTTAGATCATAATAAACTATGTTCTTTTTTGAAAAAAAAGTTTATTAATTTTAATTATAACAACAACATCAACAACAACAACAACAACAACAACAACAACAACAACAACAACAACAACAACAACAACAACAACAACTATAGTAATAAAAACAATTAAAATATATAATAAAATGTGTAATATGACTTAAATAAAAATATATACAGAAAAATGAAAATTAAAACTACAAATCTAAAAAAATAACAAACATTAAATTACTAAAAACCATTTAGAAAAAAATTAAAACTCTGAATTAATTACTTTTTAACAGAACTTTTCTTTTGAGAAACATATTCTGCAAGGATGTCTTGTAATATAATTAAATGAACATAACTTAATGTTTCAGAATTATCAAAGCCTTTTTGAAGAGATAACGGATAATCAATGTAGTAGTTAATAATTACTGATCTTAATAAATCATAGAGTACCAGACCTCTAGACTTTGTATCTGAAATATAAAAATAAATATTTTTTAAAACAAAATTTTTAAATTAAAAAAAATATATATACTTACAAATATACATAAGCAGATACACACTCACACACACACACACACACACACACACACACACACACACACACACACACACACACACACATACGAACATGCACTAAACATTCTGTGGATACTACATTAAACATTCTGTTGACTAAAGCAATCAAAAAAAAAAAATGCTAAATACTGTTTTTAATTGGCCTCTAGCAACAACCTACCTGCCTTTCTCTATCATGTTTGATACAATGTGTGATTGATACATTGTAGAGTAATTCTTGCACAGTCGTTTAAAAATTTTCTTATGAAAACCATCCTTACACCTTTTTCAAGCAATTTTATTAAAACTTTTATTATTTAAATATGTACTAAAAATTGTTGAAGATACTAAAGTCATCTTTCATATATAAACAACTCTTTTGCATAATTGTAAAAACTTTTTTTTCCAAATGTCTTATAGTTAATAATTTGTTAATTCTTTAATTTGATGTGCAGAAAACATTCAACAACAACAACAAAACAACAGTATCATATAATAAGTAAAATGAAAAACGTTTGTTGTGAATATTGGAAGAGAAGTTGGATAGGATGAAAAATAGTGAAAAGAATCAAAATTAGAAGTGGAAGATCAACACTAGACTTGGGAGTTTTAAGTAAAACACAGAGAACTCCATGGCAAGGAGGTAAGAGGTGAGAGGTCAAAGGAAGTAAGAGCTTGTGTCAAAGTAAATCTTTCAAAAATCTCTATTCATTCTCATGTCATAAATAGAGATAAGAATAATCTCATGTCATAAATAGGGCAAAATAAAGGAGAAGAGTGTATTAATAGTAATAACCATTTAGCCATAACGAACTGTTACATATACCAAAAAATTATGTTCCCAATAAGGTATTTGATGATATCTAAGATTTGGTTCATAATGATATTGAAGAAGAAATAAAAGAAAGGAAGAAGGAATAAAAGAAGGAATAAAGATTCTACAGAATATAAGTACTCTGATTACAATTTAGATTTTGGTGAAGAAAATGAAGTTGAAGAAATTGTGACATTCAATATGAAATGAAATCAAATTATTAACAATTTAAGAGTTGTTATAAAAATGTTTAATAATAACTCTAAAAAAATTTGGGCTACAAAACCTTTTTAAAGAGCTCACACCAGTTAAAACTGCTGTTATTGAATAGAGTAAAAATGATGCAAATCTCATAACATTTGATGGAGTTGACAATTTTTTTTTTTTTGGAAAAGTTGCAACTAATGCAAACTGGTATGCCAAAAAATTTCATCATGCTATCAAAAAAAAAAAAAAAAAGAACAGTAGAAAAGATCCAGTTGTAATGACTGATAATTTATTTACAGAGTGGAAATACAGTCAGACATGTTCAAACAATCGTTCTAAATGATCCTCAAAAAATGCCAAAACTGCTGTTAAAATTATGGAGCAAATTCTAATAATCCGGTAGAGGTAGAGTGCTTGCTTTATAAGCGAGAGGTTCAAAGTTTAATCCCCACCACGTCTCTGGTAGTACAGCGCTCAACTTGTTTCTCCGCACAGCAGCCTTGTTCATCAAGGTTCGTGTTTCGGAGTTATAGAGTTGAGAGAGGTTTATAAACACAGTTAAGTAGCCACCTTGTCTGTAGTGGCCTTCTTGGCCTTGGGAAGGTGAGTTCTAAAAAAAAAATACATTCAAAAATTTTTATAGAAGATAAAACAGAAAGTGAAGTTTAGTGAATAGGGTTGTCTGGAAAATGAGTTACAAAGTAAAGTATTTACGAGGTAAAAAAGATTGAGAAAGAAAATTTTTTAGCTATAGGGTTAGAAAAAACTAAACTTCATCAGAAGCAACATCAAAAAGAGTGCAGACTTATAAAAAAGGAGAACAATAAAGAAAACAAAAAGAAACCGAGTGAAGAGAATCAACACCACATAAAAAGATTATTTCACAAAATATTGGTGATATATGCCCACTGCAAGACATTGGAGTCTTTGAGAATTGAAAGATAATATCCATCACCTCTAAGATTCAAAGATGAAACAGCCAAATTTAAATTAGTCTTGCAAAAAAGAAATAGATCTAATATAATAATAAATAAGATTTAATCTCAAAGTTATCATCTGGTAACTTTGCAACGAATCATCCTCCTGATTCTATTCTCTGCTTTTCTATATTTTTCTTTTTTAGGTAAGATTTAAAAATATATTGTATGTAGTTAGGCCAAACTTTAGCTTCCATGTTTGAGTCTCATCATTGTAAGTGAGTATCTCTTTCAATGTTCTACAAGAACTGCCAAAGCTGCCTAAATGAGCTATTATCTCCCTCAATCAAATCTCAATCTTGTGTGACCACTCAGTAAAGCTTTTTTATGCTTTTTTAAATGTAGAACAGTCTTGTCACAGTCTTACAAAAGTGATCTTTTATTTTCCAGAACAACTTTCTAAGACTGAAACAGTCTTGTCTTAACTCAAACAAATCTTATTTACTAAAACTTACTGTTTATTAAATTTACAAAACATTTTGTACAGATAAATTAATTACATTACTTTTTATAAATAAATTATGAATTGTCATAATAAAAACAAATGAATAACCAACATACTTTGAGAAAACTTTTCATTAACAAATAAATCAGTCAAAGCAGCAGATGGATTTATTTCCAAATACAATCTAAACAAGCTATTAGCAAGTAACATTTGAGCAGGTAGCAAGAATGAGACCTTTTCTTTATTGCTTAGACTATCCAATAAACTTTCCAAAAGTTTTTTTTTCAAATCTGTAACATCCTAAACGAAAGAGTTGTTATATTACAAATATGCATATATGTATATGTATACAGGCCTCGGAATTAGGGTCAATAAAATTGCTAATCTAGATTCTATGTTTTTAAGGTCAAACCTTTGTTTTACATTATTTCTGTCGACTTCATACAGATATATATATATATATATATATATATATATATATATATATATATATATATATATATATATGTATATATATATATTAAAGATATATAACTTTATATTAAAGATATATATATATATATATATATATATATATATATATATATATATATATATATATATATATATATATATATATATATACATATATATATATATATATATATAGCAAAAATCTTGAAACTGCAAAGAAACTCCAAAACCTCGTATGTGATTCTTTTGTAATTGTGATGATGCCAATCAAAATTGTGGTTTTTTTAAGTATGGATGTTGTCTAATAATAGTCTGTATTTTTAAATGATGTGAAGTTTACTGAAAAAAAGTCTTTATTGGCTATATTAAAACAACTAGTTTTTGCATGAATATATTGATTTAAATAAGAAATTTATTGCAATTATAAATGTTCCTCAACTATTTTACTCAAATGTCGAGTGATTTGACCCACATAACAAGCATTACACATTTTACACACAAATTTATAGATGACCTTTGAGAAGATATTGAGGAGTTTTTATTCCTATTTGCCATATTAAAAATCTTTTTTTATTTAATAACAAATTTTTTTTAAATAACTTTTATTTAATAACAAATTTTATTTAATAACAAATTTTTTATTTAATAACAAATATTGTGAACAAAGCGAGAGTATAGCTATGGGGTCCCCTCTAGCTCCTTTATTAGCTAATCTATTTATAAATCCTATAAAAAAATTAAGTTTATTAAACTACACTGATAACAGATTACTGATAACTTATTGCAGATAACTGATAACTTAATGCAGATAACTGATAACTTATTGCAGATAACTGATAACTTATTGCAGATAACTGATAACTTATTGCAGATAACTGATAACTTATTGCAGATAACTGATAACTTATTGCAGATAACTGATAACTTATTGCAGATAACTGATAACTTATTGCAGATTGATGATATTTTTCTTTTATTCGAAAACTAAACTCCTTTTTTTAATTATACGAATCATCAATACAATAATATTAAATTAACCATGGAAAAAGAAGTAAACCAACAAACCTTTTAGATATTCTTACAATGTAAATATTAGACAAAAAATATAATTTAACTACCAGCATATTTAGAAAAAAATACTTTCTTAGGTCTATTAACAACTTAATCAATAGGATTTATAAAACTAACAATAAATTTTTTTTTTTTTTTTAACATCTTTGCTTTCAACAAGGCTGCAAGCAACCACTAATTAGTGTTGGAAGTTATTGGAAGAGAAAAGATGAAGTTTGTAGAGCAAGATAATGATTGACAGACGACTTAAAAGATTGCAAATTATATGAATCAGGAAAGCAAGATGAAGGAAGTGAATTCCAAAGAACTGATGTTCAAGGAAAAAAACTAGACAAATAAGAGTTTTTGGAGCACTTAGGAACAGTAACAGAAAAAGGATGAGACTTAATTAAATGACGAGTAACACAAGAATGAAATTTAGTAGATGGCACAAGAGACGCTAGATTTTTAGAGCAATCCCATTATAGTATTTGTAGAAAAGAGAAAGAGAAGCAACATTACGTCAATGTGATAATGATTGGAGGTTGGCTACAAGAGCAGGTGCAACTATGTTTACAATGCATCTTGTCTAAAAGAGAAAGAGAATCATTAGAAGATTTTTCCGAGATGTGGCAACAGTATTCCATACAGGGCCAGATTTGAGATTTATAAAGATAGAGAAAAAAATCCAGAGTAAGAAAGTGTTGAGCTGGATAAAGAGATGCAACCTTAGTAGATGCTAATTTTGCAACAGATTTGATATAAGAAAGATTGGAAGTAAGAGTTAATCTTAGAAGATGAAGACTTTTGAGGTTACCCGCATGCCAAACCTTATCAAATGCTTTAGAAATGTTAAGAGCGATGGCCTTATTCCCTCTACCTTTATTTAATGTACAATAAAACCTATCGGTTATTATTGCTAGCAAATCAGCTGTAGAAGGAGAAGATCAAAATCCATATTGATGATCAGAAAGTAAGTTATTAGATTCATAATGAGAGATTGTTTGTTAATTAAAGATTCAAAAACCTTGCTTATGATAGGAAGGATTATAAAACGTCAATAATTCTTCAAATGTTGTATTACTAAAATGTTGTTTAACATTATCAGGGTATGTAATATAATGGTAGTTAGACGAATAAGATGGCTCTCCAGAATTTTTAAAAATAGAGATAACAGATGCCGCTTTCCAGCAGGCTGGAAAACAAGACTCTGATAAGCACTTATTGCATAGTTTTGAAAGTATAGAAGACAGCTACAGAGAACACTTCTGCAAGACTATAACAGGTATGTTGTCCGGGCCACAAGCTGTAGAAGAGTCTAAGCAGGAAATCACTTTAGATACAAAAGCTGGAGTGATACGAATGCCAAGCAATGGATCAACCTGTTTGATGGCTATATCAGGTAGAACGCAACTAGTGAAATCAATAGATGATTTTGATGAAAGGTTCTTAGCAAATGATTCAGTTTTTTCTTTAGGTGAGGTGACAAAGTCTGAACCATACCAGAGAGGTGGAATTACAGATTTGCCCTTATTATTGATACTGTTAAAGATTCTCCAGGAGTCACAAAAGCCTACTTTTTGTGATAAAATACAAGATTTCATGACCTAAGAATAGCGGGCTTTGGTGTTAGATAAAATCTTTTTACAATGGTTCTAGCATTAATAAACAGACGTCTGTTTTCTGGAGAATTGTTTTGCTGATAGATATGGAAGTAATGGTTTCAATTGGCAATTGATGCAGCACAATGTGAGGAAAACCATAGTCTTAGTCTCACAAAGAGCAAGTAGGTCTGGTGAACTTTGCAAGAGATAAGACTTTGCAAGAGATAAGATTTTGCAAGAGATAAGAAAAGTTTTCTTCTGTTGAGAAGACCACGAACATTAGTTAATGATAGGTTTAGAGAACTTGGTGATGACAATGGTTTTTTGTGTTTTATAGTTTTTGGCACAATATTCATTTTTAAATTTGTTAAAGAACTTGATTCAAAGCATAGATAGTACTCAGTGCTAGGGTTGTTAACAGGAGGATTTCGTGCAATTTCAGAAAAACAACATTCTTTCGTAAAGAGATTGAGAACGAGAAATAACATTTTTTTCTAACCAAATATTACAAAACATTTAAAATCGTCCATGTTCATTTCGCAAATGCTACTTCCGAAATTTAGCATTTCGCAATTTGACATACGAAATAAAACTATTTTGCAACATACAAAAGTAGCTGTTTTGAAAGTCGCTCCTGCAAAACAAGCATTTTCGCCAAACGACGTTTTGAAGTCTATAAAGAAAATTTGTTTGCCAGACTGATTTTAATTGTAAAATTAACATCATTAAATCCCAAAATGTTTATAATGAATTATTATTTTCAGTATAATAACATATTAAATTTTTAAGGTTTTATTTTTAGAAATATTGATAAAAAAGAAAAATTCTTTCGAAACGAAAGTATTTTGCATCACAACATACAAAAGAGTTCTTAACGGAAACAAAATTATGAAACGTGCCATAATAAATATATATAATAATGTTTTTTTAACTCATTATGTATAGTAAAAGTAAGAATGATAAAAAAGCATATGAAATTTTTGAAACAGGTTCGAATATGCTTAAGCAAAAAGTAAAAAGAGGCTCAAAAATATGCTTAAGCATATTTCTAATAAAATATACCTATTTCAATAATTTCTAAAAGTGTGAGTGTTACTAAAGGTTAATGGGTATAAGAAAAATAAAAAGTTGACTTATGCTCTGTATTTTTGTTTTGGTTTTAATGTAGCTGAATTAATGTTGTTATAAACTTCGGTTTTTGTTGTTTTTGTTGGTTTAAATTTAGAAATATATTTATTTAAAATTTTTAATTAAATAAAAATAAAATTTTTCAAATGGTTTATCGAGGCTCAGGAACATATGCTTTTTTTTTAAATCTGAGCCTATAAGCGTTATGCTTATAAAAAAAAAAAAGAGTATATACAGTAGAATTCCGTTATCTCGGTCCCTGGATAAGTAGGACTTTGGGGCTATCTATAAACAATGTCAATAAATATAAGGAGAAGGGGGTACTAAAAAGTTTGACAATGGGGAGGGTTGACAATGAGGAGGGAGTGACAAATTGACAATGGGGAGGGGTGTTGAGACCAAAATGATGTCCATTTAAAAAAAAAAAATTCAAGTTTATTAGCCAAATTCACGTCAGAAACCTCGGTCTATTTGTAGGGAAAAAATAAAAATGGTAGCTTTCTTTAAACATTTTTAGTGTTAAACCTGTTCTGCTTGTGTTTTTTAATCAGAAAAAAGTTTAAATTATTAGCTTTAGCTATCCTAGATTTTAAAATGAAAAGACATTCTAAAAATGCAAATGGTAAACTAATAGGATTTTATCGCCTTCGACATGTAGAAGCTATTCAGAACGAATACAAAAAACTTTTTAAAACAGTTGGAATGTATTGAGATTATGATCACATTTGGTCACAATACGACTTTAAACTAAAGTCACTATTTTTATTGAAAAAGATTTGAAATTTATATAAACAAAACTATCTATATACAAAAATAGACTTCACACAGTTTTGTTGTTATTTATAACGCTACCATTTTTATTTTTTCCCCTACAAACTGTGTTATATGTATTTGGCTAATATGAGCAGATTTTAAAGGTATTTACATCTACAATGTGGTATAGAAATAGCATATTAGCTATGTGGGGAATTCGATGTAAGTTTCCTAGATATAAATTGACATTAAAATATTAATATAAAAATTTGTATTACCATTTGACTGAAAATCTAATTGTTTAAAAATATCAGCAATTTGTATATAAATTTAACAATCATTATTTGATCCTAGCGGATTTTAAAATGTGCTTTAAAGCAAACACACAAAGTTATTTGTCATTATTATCGAAAAACACTTCAACAACTCATAAGAAGATGATGAGTGATTGAATTTATATTATAGATATAAAATAAAATTTTCATTAGTTTGTTTACTATTTGATGAGGTATCAACTGTTCTTTAATAAAATATGCTGAGATATAAATGTATAATTTAACCAGAAAAAATCAATGGTGCTTACACATATTTTTTGTTACTTTAGGGAGGGGGGGTACAAAATCTGACATTATGTATAAAAGGGGTTTTGCCTAAAATTGACAGGGTTTAACAAAAAGGGGAGGGGGTTAAAAATTGAGAAAAATCACTGACATTTATGGACAGCCCCTTTTACTAAGTTGGAAAATTTTTCAATTTTCCTTGAACGTTCTATAAATACCAAGAGCTATGCTTAACTCGGACATTCCCTAAGCCGTACTATTTATCTGTTCCCATTGAGGGTCCAACTTAATGGGATTTTACTGTATATATATGTATGTATGTATATATATATATATATATAACAGCTTTATACTTGAAAATGATTATTGTACAATTAAAACATGTTGTTGAAACTCAGAAAAATTGTTATATTTATTAGACTTATCACACATATATACATATATATATGTATGTATATATATATATATATATATATATATATATATATATATATATATATATATATATATATATATATATATATATAGTCTAAAGCCTTTTCGACAGCATTGAACATATTTGGGCACCACTTTTTTTTTTTTTTTTCATATTTGGGCACATTTATTTTCTAACACTTAGGTCTTAGTTTTGTTCATTTGATTCTAAAACATTCCAAAAATTGTTAATTGAAATTAGATAATTATCATCTTGATAGTTTGATACCAATTGATAAAAGTAAATAGATAAAAATACTTTCAATAATTGTAAAAAGAATTATCAATTTGGCGGCATTGTAAAAAGCGCTTTAAGCAAATCCGCAGTTTTTGAAAACCCTGATTCAGTTAAAATCTGCAGTTTTAGAAAACCCTGATTCATGACTAACACATATTGTTTTATTTTTAAGAAATGGCAGTGAAATTAAGAGGCAATAGAAAGAAAATTATCTCAGTTGGTAAAATGAATGATCAAATAACAGGCGCAATTTTATTCTTTAACGGCCAAGTTCTTGTAGTACTTTTTTTAACATTCACAAATTTAAATTGACTGTTAGTAAAAATACAAACCTTGTCATTTAAGAGTGTATTATATTTTGGAAAAATCCAGAACCCCTACCAGAGCTATACCTAATTGTGCAAAAAAACTTGTAGATCTTCACTTGTAGATCTTTAAACAATTAAACTTATAGATCTTGAAACAATTAAGATAATTTATTTTATATAGCTCATGTTGATGCTTTGGAATGGTAAAAATACAAAGTTTATCGTCATCTCTTACTACACAATACTTTATACAAACGCAAAAAACATTGCGATTAACACACCAGCACCGATGAAAGCCTTGAGAAACCCTTACCATCAACCTTTCAAATGGTAAGTTCTGAAACTATAACAAAAAAAGGAAGGTAAAATTTTATCACATTTTAGGCATAAAGGATTCTGTCTATATGCTATATATCTATATACTTCACAAAAGTCCACAGTAGTCACAAGTAGCCCTGATATCCTGATGTTCAAAAAGCTTAGAGACAACTGGAAAACTATTAATCTGGCTGGAAAACTATTAATGTTGAAACATACCCTGATAATGTCAAACAACATTTTAGTAATACAACATTTGAAGAATTATTGACATTTTTTAATCGAGACTTGCAAAAAACTATTTTACAAACCTTTTAGTAATAAGCATTTGAAGAATTATTGACATTTTATAATCAAGACTTGCAAAAAATTATGTGATGACTATGGAGAACTGATTTAACTATCTAATATTTTCTTAGGAGGTTATAATGAGAAAAAAATTAAAATCAGACCTCTTAAAGCAAATGTATAAAGTGAGGTGGATGGCTTGGTGGATTTACTCTTTAATGATATTTGTGTTGCAATCGCAGATCAAATTTAACACCAAGGATAAGCGAGTACATTGATTTTGTGTCTGTCAAGAGAAAAAATTTATTTTCTCAATTAAAAATTAATGAGAACTTCCTCCAAAGACCCATTTCAACGTGGGATAAAGATGTTAAAGATAAAGAGAAAAATTCTTTCCTTAAATGCAGTTAATGATGCAGCTAAAAGAGCAGTAAAAGTTATTAAAGATTTTTATGGTTTGTTAACTGCAAAGAAAGAACAAAAACAATTTTTGCTATGCTGTGTGCAAGAGCATAGAAATCTGCATCTAGACTGTAAAAAAGAGACCCTTGATAAAAAATATCCTACTTGATATGTAAATTTATATACTTTTAATAAATATTTTATAAAATATGTGTTTTCATTGAATTAGCTAAATAACAGGAAGAGTTAAAAACAGCAATTTCAGAGTTCTGTCAGCATGCATTAATTTTGTCCTAGGAAGATAAAATTTTATTTAAGTTAATTATTGTACAAAGATAAAATTTCTGCATTTAAGTAAGTCTAGATAGTTTAAAAAGAAATAGAGTATTAAAAAGAAATAGATTTCAAAATATGTATTTTGAAATCAAAAAAAAAAAAAATCACTTATAGGGAACACTCATAAGGAAAACCATTATATATATATATATATATATATATATATATATATATATATATATATATATATATATATATATATATATATATATATATATATATATATATATATATATATATATATATATATATATATATATACATATATATATATATATATATATATATATATATATATATATATATATATTAGGGTGGGTCATAAAAATTTTTTTTCTTGTTACAGGCTCTAAACATTGCTAATAGTTATTATATTGATACTATCAAATATGAGAATGATTGTGATAGATTTAAAGGGCGCAACTTTATTGGGAGAATTACCGGTACCCTAATATTTTGGAGAAAAAAAGTTTTTCAAAAGTAGGTCAACCTGGTACTCAAAAGAAGCGAAATTTTATAATAAATTATAAAATAATAATTGTTTTATAAAAATCATATCGTCGAAAAATATTGCTATTAAAAAACATGTAAAAATGCACCTTTTTTACTTTTAGTTAAAAAACTATAGTTATTATGCAATAAAATCTAAAATAATAATTTTTATATGAAAAAATTATTTTTGAAATTTTTATGAAATTTCGCTTTATTTGAGTACCTACATCACATAATTTTGAAAAACTTTTTTTTTGAATAATAATAGGGCCTGCTAATTTTTGTAATTATAGTTGCGGTTGGAAGACATATATATAATATCGCAATAAATGATATATAATAATAAATAATACAAAATAATAAATAACATATAATAATATATAACAATAATTATTTATAAATATATAATATATAAAAACGGTAATACAGTAAATAATTCTACCACAGCAGTAGTATACAACTAGCTTTGAAAATGTTTAAAAAAAAAGAAAAAAAATATAATTAAAATAACTTTTTCATTTACTCATCAATTATTATCAATATATTGCATTGGTTTTCTCCATTAGTCATATGTTTAATATATTATTTTTTTGGATACTTATTTTGACATAAAAAATTTAAAATTTCTATAATCATACAAAATGTTATCAAATTATTTTACTAAATTACAAAACTTTATTTTACTAAATTACAAAACATTAATTTTTTAAACAAGAGAAACTATTTCTAAAAACTTATATATTTTGCTCTAGAATTTATCTGTTACAACCATTAATTTTACAAAAAAGTATAGAAAACTAAAAATTAAATTATTTTTGGATAAAATCACATATCTTAAATAAAATCATACTTCTGCTACTCAAACACCTTTAAATTTGTTCTCTTAATTTTTGATTCTCCATTAATCATCTGTTCAATAATGATTTCTCAGTTAGCCATCTCTTAATTATACTGATTTCTCCAATAGCTAACAGTTCAATATTTTCAAACTGTTTTTTTAAACTTTATATAAAATTCATCACAGTCACATAAAAAATTGAATAATTTTTAAAAACAAAATTAAAAATAGTATACCACTGATAACAAGTGCGCAAAAAGTTCACATTTATGTAGCAACTTGTATCCAGATGCTAACTGACAAAGCATATCACAAATGTCATTATTTGTATTACAAATGTCTAAGGGTAAGTGAGACAACAAGTTATACTGTTTTTCACACAATACAGATGACAAAACATTGTAGAAAGAATTCAAGAAGTGATCTGGTGCAAACTTTCTCATCTTTTCAGATAATGTATACATCTAAAAAAAAAAAAAAAAAACGGTTTTAAAACATATTTATAATACTTTAAAAATTATTCATCAAAATTTTTAAATTTTCTTGAATGCAACACTAAAAAAACATTAAAAAAAAAACAAAAAAAATTTAATTTAGAAATGATGTAAATAAAAGTTTTCAAGTCAAAAAAAATACTTCTTCAGGCAATTTTTCCAAAACTTCCAAATCAGATACTTGAAAGCCTAAACACTGAGGATAAACCATGCAGTACACTATTACTTTTAAAAAATTATTTGAAAACATTTTATCTCCTATATCTTTCATTGTGTTGGCTTTCCACAATTCATCTTCTAATGTAAGACTTATTATATAAATAATGCGAACAATTATTGTGCACTTCAACCTAAAAATGAATAACATTTTTCATTATTTATTGTTTATTTTCTTTTTTTTTTTCCCTCTCTATTTTAAATTATTATTATATAATTAAACTATTGTTTGCTTTTACTTATTAACAATATAAAATTAAACATATATAATTGCCATATTATATGTTGGTTTTTAATTTAAATCATATATCATATTCTAGCAACATAAGATAATCTAAAAAAAAACACTCTTCCATAACAGCAAATGGTAAAAAATATTTTCTAGTAAAAATAACAAAGCCAAAAGCCACAACTAAAAGTTCAAACTTCCTTTTTCAATTAACTTAAAATCTGTTAAGTTAATTTAAAAGATTTTTTTTACAAATATTATTCATGTAAGCTCTTTTTATATTAAACTAAAATATTTGCTATTTCATCAATATTATGTTATATATTATTTTATAAATATATAATATAAACATGTTATTTTGTATACAACATAAATTTAACTCATTCAAGAAATAATGGATCCAAAAACAGTAGGATGAAACTAGTATATGTTATACTTGCCACATTACATAAATAAACAAAGTAAATAAATAAATAAACAAGATAAATGAATATATAGATAGATTTATTAGAACAAGATTAAAATTACATGTTCTAAAAGATATACAGTTCCAAAAAATGGACACTGACAGTGACAGCCCCTACATAAGTATAAAAGCAATCTAAATAATAAACAAATATAGTTGACAATATACACATTCAGATAAATAAATAAACAAGGTAGATAAATAAAATCTTTTTCAACTAAGCAACTACCTATCATAAGTGTCACATTCTGATGGCAAAATATCTTGCATAAACTTCATCAACATATTTTTGCAATTTACCAAGCTTATTTCATCAATAAAGTAAACTATGGCTGTAAAAAGTTTACTTGTAGAATTCCCTAAAAGAAGATGAATGTAATGAACCAAATATTACCAAATGTAATGAACCAAATATTAACCAAATATTATTCAGTATTAACATTGGTATTTAAAAGTAAAAAAGATCATTAAAGTAAAATTTTAAAAAAACTATTGATTGATCACACTTTTAATATGATTATATATGCCATACATAACATTTTCAATTTTTTTTTTTTATGCATATTCATATATATCATATATAACAATTTCTCTTTTTTTTTATGTATAACCACTTTTATTAGTCATTTTGAGCATTTTTCTTTTTTTGATGTACTTGCTCATTTTTATTCTGAATGACAGGATGTCTAATAGTGAAGTCCAGGAAGAAAAACTACAATGCTTGCTTTTGTAATGGAATAACTTACATTGGACTTAACCTTGGAGACTTTTTGAAATTATGTAGTATTGGTTTTGGTTGAAAAAGCAGTTAAAAGGATGGAAGAAACGGATAATATGTTGGTATAAACAGATGATTGGCTTTTATGTATGTATGACATACATACATAAAAGTTCACGCATTTCAAAATTTATTAGATTTATTTATATTAGTTCTATATTATTTAAATTCAAGCTTCAAAATATATATATATTTTTTTGAAATAATGTAAGCATTTTCAATCAACAAAAAAAGTAAATTAACCTTTAAAGATCTTTTGTGCTGGAAGATACCGGGCGCTAATAATCCAACTATAACAATCTAGAGCACCTAGGAGGTTTTCGAGCCAATTTATAACTCTGCTGAAAGAAAACTCAGCCTTTAACTTTTCTGGAAGTGTAGGATAGTGATGAATACCTTTTCTTGAAATTCCTCCTCCCTCAAAGCTATAACATTAAAAATTTGAATAAAATTATGACACCTTTTTTTTCCTAAATTTTTTAGAACACTGAAAACTATAATAAAAAGTTACAGATTATTTTTGATTTTTAGTTATTTTTACTTGTAATTGTTATGTAAAAAAAATGCATTCAAACATTTTAAAAAATATCTAAAAAAGTTTAAAAGTTTACAATAATTACTTAAAATAAATTGAATAAAAAGTAAAACCACAAAATCAATAAAATATAGTAAAAACATTTGCAAAAATGTTTTTACTATATTTTGATATAATTTAATAGTTCAGTAAACTAAAAATTGACAGGTTTGCACAACATTCATTTCCAAACCTGTCAATCTTTAGTTTACTAAACTATTAAATCTAAATTAAAAAGTTTATTTTCCCCTTTTTAGTACAAAAAAGATTATATTTTTAGGCATTTTTTTTTAATTTTATTTTCTACTTTTTAATCTTTAAAATAAGTTACAGTATTTAAAAATGAATTATTGTTATTGTTCTGTAGCATTATAATATATTGTAATATTCAACAAAAAACAAGATGAAGAGTTGTGATTAAGTATCCTAGTACCTAAGCAACATTGGTGCAATATTTGCAAAATATTAATCTCAATATTGGCTAAATATTGTTATCAATATTGCACCAATATAAAATGTCCACATTTTGATATATATATATATATATATATATATATATAGCCAATTATGATTTACAATACTGGTTATATATAAACTACAATATAACATTATTTTTTCATATTCATTGAAAAAACATTAAAATTAAAATAAAAATCTCCCTAAGAAAAAATTGAACCTCCAACCCTGTTAGCCGTACCACAAAATTAAACCACTTTTATTTCCACAGTACTACGCTTTATATCAATTGGGTGAAAAATTAAAGTATTCAAACAATTTTTGCATACAAATAAGGTTTTTATCTTGTAAACATTATTTGTGTGGAAGAAAAGATATTAAAAATAGAAAAAATCAAAATAGTGAAACCAAAAACGGATGATAATAATTTAATTCAAATAAAAAGATTATATAAAATAAAAATAATATACCAATAAAATAAAAAATAAAACTTAATATATTTCTAAAAACATACTATCTAAATAGGTCATCTCCGTCTCTATCTGCTATTGCATTTTTCATATATTCTTCAACCCCTAAACAATATAAATATTTGTAATAATTCTGGTTCCCAATTCATTAAAACATTATTTATTTTAAACCATTGTTTAAAAACATTTATAAACAAAAATTGTCTTAATTTCAACCAAAACTCATACTACATCTTTAAGGAACACATGTTAGACAGGTATTGAGTCAAAACAAACAACTAAACATAACATGGCTTCGTTCATATAATATTACTTTATACAAACCAGCAAACAATTAAATAAAATTCTGACCCTCTTGCAACAACATAAATGAAATAAAAAGTTTCATGCATTGATGTCTACATGCTGTTTGTGGTGAACCACATTCACTGAGCAACCACATACTGACGTGTCGAAGGTTAAAATCAGTGGTGTCTTTAAATTGGCTATAATCAATCAAAGTAAATTCAATAAAGTAAAAAATTCTTAGTTCAAAAAACCTTACAAAATACTAGACAAAATAAAACTTTAGATACATTGGGTGACGCCTATTTTTAAAAGGTTTTAGCAATATATCACATTTCTTTTTAATAATCTTTTCCATGTGCTGCAAAGACAGTTCGTATTGGTCAATGCTTCCTGAAAATATGAGATAAAAAATAAATTTCTAATGATTTCAAACTTTGAAGTTTAAAACAAATTTATAAATACAAAAAAAAAAAAAATTATAGAATTTTTTTAGGCTTTTTTTGACATTACATACCAAATGATTTTTCATCTTTATGCGAAAGTGATAGGCCATTTATATATACTAAAAGTAACTCCAAAATAAATGTATTCACAAGAATTTCCTCCTCTCTAAAAATTAATGCATTAATTCAAATAAATTTTTTAAAATAATTTATATTTGTTGTATCTAACTTTTAGTGAAGCTTGTTTGTAAAAAAAAGTTCTTAAAATATCTGAAAACAGTGTAACAACATAAATACCTAAAAACAGTGTAACAATATAATTACCTAAAAACAGTGCAACAACATAAATACCTGAAAACAGTGTAACAATTGTTAAAAACAATAGCAGCAGATATTCTTTTATAAGGATTGGGATGGCAAGCTAAACTAATCATTTGCTTGAAAAGCCTTCTTGGATTTCCTGGATTTGATTCCATTTGCTAAAATAATAAAGGAAACATTTACAAAAAAAATAACTAATTCAATATTAATTATTAAGAGTGTTAAAAAAAACCTTTTCAGTTGTTTGTTTTATTGACCATGTCAGAAATTCTTTTACACATTTTGCACTGAAGTCTCTCACAGCACTATTATCAGGATCTGATACACCATCCTAAACATTATTATTAGGGTGTTAAAGTTATCGATATGTTCTCTAATTTAGCATGACTTTTTAAATGGATGAGATTCATGAAATGAATCTCATCTATTTGTCTCATCCATTTATTCATCTTTGATGATCATAAATAGTAAAAGTTTTTAATTTTCTAAAAATTAGGCAATCTTTAGTGGTAGCAAATTTTTAAGCTAAAAATAGTTTTTCAAAATTTTTTATTAGGAAAAAACTGTAAATACCAGTGTAAACTTACTAAGGAGTTAGTTAGAATATTATATTACCCAATGTTCATCCTTCATCCTTGTTCATCCTTCCTAAAACTATTTGGAAAAAAGATTTGAAGAGATTTATTTTGCTCAATAGTTTTACCTAATGTTGTTGCTTTTTAGTCTTTTTTTTATTTTTTATTATTTTTATTTTTTTCCTATTATACAGGCACATCATCAACTTATTCCAAAAAAAGACAGATGCTGCAAGTCAAACAACTAACTAAGAGATTTTATGCTAAAAATTGGAAGAATTTAAATCAAAAAATTTCTGAATGACAATCTTTGATTTTATACTGCTACCACTGAACATTGTTTGGTTAAAGCCGAGTTTTTAGTTTTAGAGGGAACATCATCATCACAAAAAAAAAATTTTCTCTTTTTTTTATTATTTTTTTTGTTTTTCCTTTTTCTGAAAATCTGAATGCTATAAAGGCAGGAAATGCATGCATGCATGCATGCATACATACATAAATACATACATACATACATTTATACATACATACATACATACATACATACATACATACATACATACATACATACATACATACATACATACATACATACATACATACCAAGCCTTCCCAGGAAAGTCGTGCGGTTTTTTTTCTCGTATGACCACACCTGATTACACTATTTTAAAAAACGAGATCACGGCCGTTTGCAAATTTTATAATAATGTTGAAAAAGTTTCAAAAAAAAAAAAAAAAAACTAACAAAACAAAAAGAGATTGAAATAGAAAAAAATAAAAACAAATTAATAATTTAAATAATTTTTGCACTCTTTTTATTTTTGTTTCTTTAGAGGCGAAGCAAAAAAAAAAAAACAGTTTGAAGTCTACAATAAAAAGAATGATTTTCCTTTTCTTAATTTTTTTTCAGAGGATAGCAAAAATACAATTTGCAATGTGTTTGTAAAATTTATTTCTATAATTTTAATGTAACAACAAGGGTTGAATTAAGCGAATGCAAAACGAAAAAATCTGGAAAAATATCGGCGGAGGTGTATTTGATTCACGGGTTTTTCGGTAAAGCCGAAAATAAAAATTCGGTAAGAAACAACAATTGTTAAAATTGCGCGCTGTCTATTTAACGGAATGGTTATTGCGGAACGCTATTTTTTTAGTGTTAATAAATTTTTTAATTTTGTAAAAAACAACAACAACGGATCATAAATATTGTCTTTTTTTACCTAATATTACAAAATAAATATGTATAATATAAATATATTACAAATATAAACAATAATTATAAAAATGTACAATATAAATTTGTACACAAAACCAAAACAAAAAGTTTTAAAAAATCTAGTTTATCAAGATTTTAGTTTATACAAAACTGTGTTCCTTGTTTTTAAGGGGAGAATCAACTTAAATTTGTTAGCAAAAAAATAAAAAATAAAACAATAAACTTACGATTACAAAAGTAATAACACTCTAGTCACTAACTGCATTACAAAAGTAATAACACTATAATAGTGTTATTACTTTTATAACGCAATTATAACTTTTAAAATTCATTCTTAGTTCAAGCAACATTAGTATTCCCAAATTTTAATTGAAGTAGAAAAATATCTAGAAGAATAAATTGGATGTTCAAATAATATTAAAACTAAAGTAACTTATAAAAAAGGTGACAAACAACTTTATGAAAACGTATCGTATTAAAAGTTTAGCATTATGAAAAACGTTACTAATGGACCATAAAAACGCGCATTAATTTTTAAATTAACCAATAAAGATTTTTTATTGGTTGATTTTAAAACTAACGTGCGTTTTTACCTAACGTTTTTCATAATGCTATACTTTTTATAAAGTACCTTTTTATAACGTTGTTTAAGTGTTACTCGGTATAGTTAAGGCGATTTACAAAATATTCAAATACTTTTATTTGGAATTAGCATGGTTTTGTCAGCATATTATGTCCAAACAAGATGTTTAAATGTTATAACTTTTTTTACTTAAGGTTTTTAAAATATTTAAAGAAACTTTTCTTTTTTTTATATAATTTTTAAAACCTTTTTACTACCCGTAATAGTGAATCTAAAGAACACTATTTTGGAGTCTTTAGATCAATTCCGCTCATCCGCATTAACATGAATTTAGTTAAAATCTTTTGAAAAAGTTTCTTAATTTACTACTGATCCTAGATCTAATCGGTTCTGATGTATATTAACTATATATAGTTGTCAAAACAATATTTCTATCAATTTTCACAAAAAATACTAGAATTCTGACCAAGAAAGAGCTTATAATTATGGAAAATTACCAATAAATGATCAGAAAAGATATTCTTAAACTATAATGTTCATTTTACCTAAAAAACATATTAATATAAAATCTTATTCAAACTTGGACAAGCTATTGTAATTTTAGGATGGTTTTTTTTAAGCTATTGTATTTTAGGATGGTTTTTTTTTAAAAAAGAATCTTCGGTCAGGGTTTTTTAGCTACAAACATTTATATTTTGTGATACTGCAAAATTTATCATTTTAATACTTTTCGTCTTTTTATAATTCACAGATCAGACCATTTAACAAAAATAAGTCATTTTTCTAAATGCTTTTCTACTTTAATAAATGTTTGGAATTAATAATGTTGTTTGAACAAAGAATGAACTTTAAAAGTAATAAGTGCTTTATAAATGTAATAACACTATTATTGTTTTATTACTTTTATAATGCAGTTAGTGACTAAAGTGTTATTACTTTTGTAGTTGTAAGTTTATTGTTTTTGTTTTGTTTTTTGTAACTTTCTCGCTAACAAACTTTTAATAATTTGCTCCTTATAAACAAAGTACACAGCTTTGCATGTACTAAAATTTTAAAGACCAGTACCAAAAGAGGAAAGTCAAGAAAAACATTTTCAAATATTCTAATATATACGACTTTCTATTGTATATTAGAATATTTGAACCATCGAGTTATATATCGAACAATTTGAGCTAAACATTTGTTTAATAATTATATCATAAAATAGAAAGGAACTCGTAAAATATTTAATATATATGGTCATTATCAATTATGGTAATAAGTAAGAGCACAATAATTACATAAGTTTCATGCTCACTTTATTGATTACAATGCTCACTTTATTGATTACAATTATTGATTCCAGTTAAAACTATTTTCCTGGCTGTATAAGAAAAAATAAATTAAAAAAATTGACACCTCCAACAAAAAATTTATCTTTATCATATTTTTAAAATTAAGATCCAGTATGACAATCTATAATTAAAAAAAATTCTGATTTTTTATTTGTTGTTTGTCTGCATTAATTCTTTTTTTTTTTTGGAATTTTATTTTACCAGAGTTTGCAAATCGCGATCGTATAACTTAACTCTTGTTTTCTATTTAAGTTCACTTTAATTTCTTATGTAGTTATTAAATTTATAATAATTTTTCTGCAACGCATATAATAAAACTTGTGCAAACGGCTGTGATCACATTCTCTAACTTGAAAAACGTTTTCGTGGTCGTACGAGACGAAAAACCGCACGCCTTTCCTGGGAAGGCTAGACATACATACATACATACATACAAACATACATACATACATACATACATACATACATACATACATACATACATACATACATACATACATACATACATACATACATACATACATACATACATACATACATACATACATACAGTATAAAAAAGTTTAATGGCATGAAAAGTTAAAAAACACACAAATATTTCATATAATCAAAAAAATGTAAGTAACACATACAAGTATTGCATCCAATAAAACAATAGTTTCAGGACTTTCATACTTTGATCTTCCTGTAAACCAATGTATAATTTGAAACAACAATGGACTGAAAAGTTGTTCAGATACCTATTTCAATAAATTACGTACCAGATATTTATTTCAAAACAAAATATAAATTAAAAAATAATTTTAAAAATATTTTATAATAATATTATTGATAGTATAAATTTCATTAACATTATAATGTAATTATAATATAACATTATAACATAATAATATTATTGATAGTATAAGTTTCATTAACATTATTTGTTAATATTTAAGAGCCAGTGTCCCTAAGAATCAGCCAATTTTTAAGGAAAAAAATACTGAATGTCACCAATTATGCAAGTTTTACTGAGAAAAATAAAAAATAAAATGTTATTCGCTGCCTATAAATCATAGTCTAAAAGCAAAATAATTGTGAAAAAGTACGAAGTTTAAGAAGCTGATACTATTGAAGCCATCATAGCCATGCAGACTTTTTTACATCATATGGTAGCTGTGGGTCTAATCTTCCATTAGAAAAACTGTGCTTGGTTGTATTTACATCTCAAAAAAATAGCAGTGAAAAACATGTTAAAAAAAAAATGTTCCAATTTTATATTGCTATAAAAACTGAAGCCAAAAGATTTGAAAAAAATATTAACTAAAAATATAGACTGAACATAAAATATGTAGACTGTCATATAAAAAAAAATTTACATACCATCTTAACTTATTCTCTAGAAAAATCAATTTGAAAAAAGATAATAATCTAATTTTCTTTATAATATATACATAGATTTAGATATATAATAAATACTTTATAACATCATATAAAAACTAATATGTAGTAGAATAAATTGAATCAAAAATGTTCTACTTATTTCCAATGAAGAATTAAGGTAACGTTAACTTTATCAAAGTCGCTTACAGATACAGTGAAATGTGATCTTGGGTTGATTGGAATATTTGACATAAAATTTGATGTTCCTCTTAGTTAAGGATTTACTCTGTTACTGGTCGATTGAAACAGTTTTTGTCACATATTCCATTCACAAAACACTTATGCTATTGTCATCAATCTGAACAGTAAAACAAATTATTAAATTGAATAACTCTATCTGAATAAAACAAAGTTTAAACGTTAAAATAAAAAAATTTACCTCAGTTGGGTAACATAATAACATATTGTACCAGGGTACAATATGTTATTATGTTACCAGGGTACAATATGTTATTATGTTACCCAACTGTCTCCCTTATACGTAGCTACCTCATTGATAGTAAAACATGCCTGATTAAACAAATGCACTGATAATAGAAACAATTCACTGATACTAAAAAGTATTAATGAATTTACAGATACAAAAAAATAAACATATATTAATCAGAGAGTTATCTGTTGTTGCCATTTAACTATGTCAGTATTGTATTTTAAATACTGTTATAATACACTATATTATATTATAACATTCACATGTTCTTGTATTGTCATTTCAATTCCATTCCAACATTTTTAGCATTGTAGTTATCATAATTGTCTTTATTATTCAATTCTTCTTTGTTAATTAGCTGATTGTTTGCAGTTTCTTCCAGTTCTTTCAATGATCTTTCTTTATAATTTTTGGCCTACCTCAAAAACAAAGATTTAATATGCTGCAAAGTGACATATTGGTGGGGATCTAAATCGTTACAAAGTAACTTCTCCACCACTGGACTCATTTTCTTACCTGTCTGTTGACCTTCCATGAAGTATTTATACAGCAAGGAACTTTGAGAATAAGAAAATCAAAAAAGTGCTTTGTACTGGTAGAGCCCATCCAACTTTTTGAAATGAAGAAGTGGATATCATCCAATTTTGTCAAAGCAATAATAAAGTAAATTTCGGGGGTTCAATTTTACAATACCACCAAGGATGTTGAGTTAAAAGTAATTAATTTATAACATAATCTCCTCAATAATATATAGAATAAAAATGTATATAAAATATACTTCTTTGTAAGCTATCAAAAACATGATGTCCTTAATATGTATCCTTATGAAATTTAATGATTTTTAATATTTTATTCATTTTTGAAATTGACTTTTCTAGAGGCTAAGTTAAGATCACACATAAACTTTTTTGTATATGGCAGTTTACGCTTAAATTAAGGTTTTTTTCGAATCTGGCTTCGTTTTTTAAAGCATTTTTTAAAATTGATTTCTTTTTTTAAAGCGGTCTAAAGTTGGAATAGTATTTTCTAAAAAGTGTTTTACACTGTTAATTTTTTGAAATACCAATGCAACCACGCGCAATTTAATTTTTTTAGATGAATATTAGACCCATAGCTATGTTTTACTATAAGAAAATTTTTGTTGATATTTTGGCTTTAAAAGTTATGGCTTCCTAAAGTTTGTAACTTATTTATAATTTTGATACTTATAGACTATGACTTTTAGACAACAAAAAACTTTTTTTTTCCCCTAGTAAAACTTGTGGCTGGCTGTTATAAATAAGATGACAAAAGTTATTAAAACAAATAATACAAAATAAGCAAATTTACTAAAACTCATCCAATTTTCAATGTACCGGCATGACGAGACATACCAAGTACCGGCATGGCAGAATGACAAGTATTTGGACCAAAATATTTTGGATTTGTCATTGCATCTATCATACAAAGCAAATATGTAAAGAAATAAATCAGTGACATTCAGTATTAGCAACTGTCTGATTCTTACAGACAATGGCTCTTAAAAACAATTTTTTTAAATAGTATAAATATTTGAAAAAATTTGAAAAAAGTGCATAAAGTTATAAAAGACTTAAAATTATAGAAATAAGCTATATAAACTATGCAATCAAAATAAATTTTAAGTGTAAATAACTTTTCTTAGCACTAATCTTAACCAAGTTTTATAAAATAAGACAACAAAGTGCCATACAAACCTTCATACAAAGCAACTACAAAACTTAAAGCAACTACAAAAATTTAATTTTTACTAAACAAAACTTTACTTAGAGAGTACTATCTGGGTCCAAAAATATTTTGTTGTTTCTAATAGTTAGTAATAATTGACCTTGTTTTATCTGTGAACAGGCACTATGAAGTCCCTGAAGTCCCAATTCTTCTGCATTTTGAAATTTGCCAGGCAAACGTACTTTGTCATCAAGTTGTTTCCATAAATTCTTAATAGGATTTAGGTAAGGAGATTGTGCAGGCCATTGCATAACATCAACTTAATTAGTTTTGAGCCAAGCTTTAACTAGTTTTTATGTATGTTTCGGATCATTATCCTGTTGGAATGTCCACTTCAGAGGCATGTTTTCTTCTACAAATGGTAACATGTGATGCTCCAGAATATTGTTATATATGTGTTTGTCCATTATTTCTTCATTGCAACATAGTGGTCCCAATCCAGAAAATCCTGAAAAGCACCCCCAAACCATCAAGCTTTTGCCACCTCCATGTTTTAAGGTTCCTATAGTGTACATTGGTTATAATCGTTTACCAACAGGCCTTCGAACATTTCTGTTACCATCTGAACCATTTATGTTAAACTTAGACTTATCTGACCATAATATTTTTCTCCACTGTTCTTTTGTCCAACTTTTATGAGTCTTTGCAAACTCTAAATGTGCTTTACAATTTTTTGCAGATATAAATGGTTTTTTTGCTGCACAATAACTATATAGCCCAGCTTTATCCAAGCGTCTTCTTACTGTACTTTCTAAAATATTTAGATTAACTTCATCAATTGTATCTCTTGCACTAGCAAATGGTTTCTTTTTTGCATAACTAATAATTTTACGATCAGTATGTCCACCTAATGCTAATAATTTTACGATCAGTATGTATATATATATATATATATATATAAATATATATATATATATATATATATATATATATATATATATATATATATATATATATATATATATATATATATATATATATATATGTATATATATATGTATATATATATATATATATGTATATATATATACATATATATATATATATATATATATATATATATATATATATATATATATATATATATATATATATATATATATATATATATGTATATATATATATATATGTGTATATATATATATATATATATGTGTGTGTATATATATATATATATATATATATATATATATATATATATATATATATATATATATATATATAAATGGAATAAATATTTTCAAAAAAACCTGCTCTTGGCTGCAAGAAAGTTTGATGAGTGCTGGAAAAATCTCTTTATACAAACGCTCCATAGATAACTAAATAAATAATTAGTACTTATATAAATAATTTACAACTAGGAACACAAAAAAGATTTTTTTTTTTTTAATTAAAAAAAAATAAAAAATTTGAAATGCAGTCTAAATTAACAAGAACACAGCTTAAACTAAAATAAAATACGTCAACTTGTAAACAAATGCTTGAATAGGTTATGCATGCTTTTAGCTTTCGCAGCTAAATTTTGATTTTTAACAAAATATATTTTGATTTTTAACAAAATACCAAATTCTTTTTTAGCTGGAAGTTTTGGTAGCTAGGGCAATAGTATGAGTTGTAGCATTTTATTGAATATAATTTGTATGAACTGATCTGTTGAGATTTTCTGGCTTGTGCTCAGTTTCTCTATAATATTAACTTTCTACATTAACTACCTTTCTGATAGTCTAAAAATCATAAATACCTCTATAGTCTTGCTGATACTCCAGTCTTGACAAAAGGTCATCACTTTTAGATAATTTAAAATAGGCAGCTGATCTTAAATGTAATTTCTCTTTTGTGACAATTGTGGGTTTGGAGTGGCAGATGAATTTTAACCCAAACAAAACTTTGATATTACTAATAAATAACAACTCAGTAAGAGTTACTGAATCAATTCAAAGTCAAAATAAAAATCAAAGAAAAAGTTTAATGAGTCCACAACTTTATGTCTTTTTAAGTTATCCTTTACTACTGACCTCTCATGGAGTCAGCAGTAAAGGGTAATTTTAGTCATTATTATGAATATAAAAGAGAACTGACCCTGAAATGAATACCTGAATAATACCTTCAAGCCATTCTGGACAAGCAAAATTAAGAATTGCATAACAAATGTTTTTATTCATATAAGAAAGCTTTAATTACTATAATTTTATAGCTTTTGCAAGAATCAGTGATGAAAAAAGTGTACTGGTATAACTGGTATAAGACCAGTTATAAATCGTTTTTAGAATGAAGCAGTATAAAACAGCAGAACCTTAAGAATAAATGTATTACTATATAAACAAAATAGAAAAAACCTTTTGTGAAGTCCGTTTTCCTTGTTGCTGAGACTCTATACCAAGCATAAATATAACCAATCCATGCAAAAGCTCACTTGAAACTACTTTGATTTGTCTGTTGCTTGAGTACAATGCAAGCTCCACAACACGAGGAATAAACATATCTTAAATAAAGTAAAAAAATATCTTGACTTGATTGATTATATTTCCACAAGTAAAAAAACATTTTAATGCTAAAAAAAAATAGTTATTGCAGAATATATTTATATACTTTAAAATATTCATTTCTACTATTTTATAAAAACTTGTGTACTTATATTTACACCTACATATATACACCATTATCTACTTAAATTTCTACATATATACACCATTGTATTTCTACATATATTTTCTACTTTATTTTGTATTCATTATATAACTTTTTTTAAATTAGAAAAATGATCTAAAAATTAATAAAACTTGTTACAAAAGTTGGTACCTAGATAAATTGTTGGTTTCATATCACGAAATGGAAGGGCAAATGGCAAATGCTGATTGGTGTCCCAAACTATATGTTTACTAAATTTTGCAGCATTCTGCAAAATACCAATGCTTAATCTTCCGCCCAAGCATCCAAGAAACTTAATAACACGCAACTCCAGGTTAAACAAAGGGGATTCTGACAAATCCTTGTAAAATAATTACTTTTTTTCACAACTCTTATTACCTATTTAAAAGCTACTATTATAAAACAAAAAACAAAAAATTACTAAGAATTGCACAATATTCTTGAGCAAGAAGTTTAGCTTAATTTAAAGAAAAATTATCAAAATTATTAAAATATACTTTTTGTGACATTGCTAAAGCTCTAAGATATCGAATAGGAACTCTTTTAACTTTTCTTTCACTTTTTGTTAAAGTAACATGCTCTGTGTAACTATCTTCTATTATGAGGAAAATATATTCATTATTTCACTATGAAAAATTTTAAATTTGTTATTCTAAAAAAGTAAATTTCACCTTCTTTGAATATAGGTTGTATGTAATCGTTAAAATGTGGAAGAACTAATCTCACTATACTCTCCATATCTGATTCATTTAATTTCTTTTGAAGTCGATCAAGGGTATCCAAACACAATTCTGCAATTTCATAATAAGATAAACCAAGTTGAAGCGCCACCTTTACATAATTAAAAACAATTAAAATATAAATAGTAAATATTGTAGTAAGCAGTAAATATTAGAAGCAGTATTTGTTGCAACAAAAGTAAAAAATGACACAAAAAAAAAATTAAACACAAAATGTAAATTATCCAATTATAGTTAGTATTTGTAAAGTGATCCTTAGGAGAAGTTCAAGCAACTTTACTAGAGGGAATTTTGAGCTGCTTTAAACTTGGAGCCTATTAAGTCTTGCTTTGAAGTTGTTTATAGAGACAGACTAGATTACATTATCTAGTAGGGTGTTCCATGAGTTGGTAATGCAGTTACAATTGAAACAAGCAAACTGTTGCTTCGTTTTTTTAAGTGAATAGCTTTTGGTAGAACTAATAAAAAGGGGACGTGTCAGTTAACTATGTTAATATTACTCCTAATCTTAAACTTTTGTATACATTTATATTTATTTATTAGGAGATTTCAAATGAGGAAATTTTTTTTTATTATGAACTGGTAGTTTTCTTGCCATGTTTGTAGTCTAAAGGTTAATTGTTTTGAGTAGGTTTGTGATGCATGCTTTTTTTTTCTACAAAACCATATTGACTCTTTGAATAAATATTTTACAGTGTGATTGCTTTCTTGACAATTTTCTTCATTATTTTACACAGGATTAAGATTGATTGAAAAAGATTGATCTTTAGTTTGCTAGTTTGATCTTAAAACCTTTCATAAATAAAAGCATTACATTTGATTCGGACTTTTACATAAAATTACAGCATAAAATTTCACAAATGTCAAATGACTTTTAAAAGATGAAAGTTAAAGGACTAATCTTGGAATCTTGGATGAACAAGTGTAAGATGGAAGGACTGGCACTGTTTACTTCCAGTTATTTGGATGTATCAAGGTATGAGAGTTCCAGGAGCGTGGCCAAAGAATCAAAAATATTTTATCAGTTGACAGTTGAATTGGTTCATGGATCGAAGAAAGAAATACTGCCAACACATTGCTTTTTGCTGAAAACTGCTTGAAAATAATAGTCGAGTTGGCTACATAATTTAGTCAGAACAAACAATTTTACTAAAACTAGTGATTCATATGGATGAGATTTATTACAGAGCACTTTTTTTATGTAGATAAATTCTTTTTGGGTTGCAATTGTCATTGGCCAGAGCAAGATCAAAAAATTTCAGGAAAAACAACTTAATTTTTTGACTATCTTTCTTGTTTTTCTATATTTATGGACCATGACAGTAGGACAAAATCATTTTTTGTGCTACTGTCATGGTCCATAAATATAGAAAGAGTTTGTTATCAATTATTATACAAACTATATAAAAACTTGTTGTTAAAAAATTAAAAATCTATATTAAAAGTTTTTTTTTTTTTTTAATTAAATTACAATTAAAAATTACAAACTAAATTTATCTATATTCAAGAATGTAGAATTCTTGCAAAGAAAAGGTTCAACAATATCCAGAGCAAATTTTTTTTACTGATGAAAAAAGATGAAATAACTGGATCAAATGTACATAATTTTATGTACATCTGATCCAGTTATTTCATCAGTTTTCATTAGTAAAAAAAATTTGCAAAAAAAATTTGTGAAAAAAATGTAATGAAGAGGTTTTTAAGCCTCTTCATTACACCTTCATTCATTTTTATTCTTGAACTTTCACAGGAATAATGCTCCTTATACTTTCCCTATATTTTCTAAATTTCTAGCTTCTGGAGCATCTTCATTAAATAGGCTAATTGGCAATAATAGACTTTCTATTAGTTTTGCTCAATGAATCAAGATCTTGTGAATTATTTCCAATCAAATTTCATCTGCAAGAAATAAAATTTGAAGATCAAAACACAATTTTTTTCTAAAAGTAGAAATTTATATTCAAAAATTGGAAAAAATGATACTGTTATAAAAAAGTAAAAAAATTTATCTTATAAGATTTTGAAGTAAAAATTTTTATAACATAATATTTTTAGAATGTTGAATTATTTTTTGTCAAAAAATAATAGTTTGATGGGTTTTTAAACTTAATGGTTTTGGTTTAATTATAAAATTAGATCAAAAAGTTGTAAAACCTGACGTTGTGTTAAAAGTACTATTGCTTGTTAATTGGTTGTTAGTTCTAGCGCTGATATTTATATATATGTAAAAAAAATGTGCATATATATATATATATATATATATATATATATATATATATATATATATATATATATATATATATATATATATATATATATATATATATATATATACATATATATATATATATATATATATATATATATATATATATATATATATATATATATATATATATATATATATATATATATACATATATATAAATATATATATATACATATATATATATATATATATATATTTATATATATATATATGATTGTGCACATCATATTGAATATAAATATATATGTTAAATGCTTTTATACTAACTTGAAAAATAGGAATTATAAACTTTTTTGATTCTTTTATAACTGAAACAGGTAAAGAAAGGAGAAACATGACAGCGGACACCAAAAGATCTTCTTTAAATTGCTTCACACGTGCAGACACCTTAATAATATTGTTTTAACTTTAAAAAAATTTAAGTAAAGCATACTCTAGTTTATCTTTAAAAATAACAAATTTAGTAAATAAAACATTGCAAAATAAAAGTTTACAAAACAAACCTCTTTAACAAACGCAGATAGCATTTTAAACAGCCTAGCTTTTTCATCACTATGATTGTTTGCCTGAAATACAAAATATTAATTAGGTCGGTTCTTATCAAATGTTATATCTGCTATTATATTTTTATCAAACATTGCATCTGTATAGTTGAGTAAAACCTATTTGGTGATGCAACTGTAATTTTTAAATGACATTACATGTTTATTTATGCAACAGTATTCTTTTATCAAATATTGTGATGTTTAGTGATGCAATATTAATAAAGGAGAATATTCTATAGTTTCAAAACAAAGAGTAAAACATTTAAAAATAAAAAGCACATTAAAATATTTAATTGTAACCATATAAAATATTCAGATTTAAAACAAATATTTGAAAAGATTTTTTTTAATGATATAGAATAAACATCGCTTTATAAAACTAAAGAAATTTTCTTTTACAAAAAAAAGACAAAAATGTAAATGAATAAACTGCAAATCATAAATATATTGCACTCAATTGTCAATATATTGCCCTGATTATAAAAGTGGCGCTCTCTTTTTAAGAGAGAAATTCGGATTTTGATCCCCACTATACCCCTCATAGTACTGACCTTAACTTGTTTTTGCCAGCAGCCTTGTTTGTCAATGTATTTGTTTCTGTGTTAAAGAGTTGAGAAAGGGTTGCAACCGCAATAAAAAAAATATCCTCCTTGCTCTTGCCAGCCCCTTGAGGAGGTGAATAACAACTGTCTAAATTTTATAAATAGTACCTCAAAATAACCAATTTGCTCCGAAATCCATAATGAATGTCTAAGCAATTTGTAAAATCCACTGACAAATGGAAGTCTGAAAAAAAAATATTAAAAAAAAAAAAAATTTTTACTATATGCTTGCAGTAAAATTTACACTAGAAGTACAATACATTAATGACTGAAAACCAAATTCAGAAGTTTTAAAGAAATTATAAAACTTACGTTTGCAAACTTTAACATAAAAATACATTTAGTTTAGGGTAGATTAGGGTATTAACAGCACCTTAAGCAAAAATTGGAATATTTTCAAAAATGATTATGCTGGATCCAAAATTTTTGCAAATAAACAATTTTTAGGGATCCCTACTCATGATTTACTTAGATATTTGGGCACCCAATTTTTTTCTTAAAAACGCGAGATTTTAAAAAAGTAGTAAATGTGCTTATATTACCTAGACCATTTGGTAATATTAAAATAGCTCAAAAAAAATAACATTAAGTAGAAAAATACCAACCTGACAAATAGAAATGATTTTTGAAATATAATTATTTGTTATTAAAAACTTATCATTAAAAGAACAAATTTTAGACCACTTTTTGTTGATACAATACTACTAATTTTTCCGCAAATAACAAAAAAAAATTAGTTTATTATTTTTTCAATTTTGTTAACTTAAACCTTTGAACGATAAAAACTCAATTTTTTTTATTTAAATTACAGAAAAATATTTAGTATTGTTAAAACATTAAAAAAATTTTCTATGTTCTGTTTTTATTCAAAAAGCAATTAAAACCGCTGCTATTTTAGGACTATAACCTAGGAAGTTTCAATGAAAAACACTGGGTAATTTTAGCATGCTCGTATTACACAAAAATGGCATCTTTAAATAAAGTTAAAACTAAATGTTTCTATGCATTGTTTTTCAAACAAAAATAGATTGGATTTTTAGCTAACATATTTTTCTTTATGAAAAGTTATTATTTTTATTTTAGTGCCAAAATGTTGTGTCACAGATTTATTCATGTGTGATATTACTTTAACAACGCAAAAAATTTAATAGCGTTTTAATTGGATGATAGCCATTAATTACTGTATATGAATTTACACTAATTGTACTCATTCCTGTTGTCACCACATTCCGTCAGTTCAAAATATATAAAGTAACATTAACTTCACTGCTAACATCTGAGAAATCTTTAGGTATGCTCATATTACCAAGGTGATCATATTACCAAGGTGATCATATTACCAAGGTGATCATATTACCAAGGTGATCACATTACCAAGGTGATCACATTACCAAGGTGATCATATTACCAAGGTGATCACATTACCAAGGTGATCATATTACCAAGGTGATCACATTACCAAGGTGATCATATTACCAAGGTGATCACATTACCAAGGTGATCATATTACCAAGGTGATCACATTACCAAGGTGATCATATTACCGAGGTGATCACATTACCAAGGTGATCATATTACCAAGGTGATCACATTACCTTTATCTACACTGCATATTGTTATACTTCTCAAGTTCATTATACTTTCAAACTTAAAGTGCATTATACTTTTATACATATAGTGCATTATACTTTATACTTTTATACCTAAAGTCTATGATACATTCAGAGAAAACTTGTTATTCATGTATGAAATTGTAAATTTATTGTTTTATTATTTTAATTTTAAAATCATTATTTTAATGGGTGTTGATCATTAGCGACCACACCTATTAAAAAAGCATAAGCAATTATTTAAAAAAGAATGAACCATATGGCTTCTTATAAATTAATTATGACTTTGTTAGAGGCAAATATAAAAAAGGATGAAATAATAAACTTTTTGGCATCTCATTTATTAATTTGACATGGTGTCAAAATATAAACTTCAGAAGTAATAAAATAATTATACAAGCTACTATGAAGTTATTAAAAGCTAAAATTGTTTAGGTATTCAAAACAATATTGATTGTATTAATTGGTAAACATCATAATAAAAAAAAAATAACTAAACTATAGGAAACATAAATAGTATTTTGAAAAGGAAACAAACAAAAAAAAATAAATAAACAAACTATTACAATAACTAGAGTATAAAATTTTTAAGATTTATAAGAGTATTAGGATTTGAAATTTTTTATCTAAAAAATTTTAAGGAGATATTTTTGTTCATTATTAAAAATTTATATTTTGCAGAAGTTCAATAAATTCTGACTCTGCATCTATATTCACTTTTTTTATGCCTTAATTGATTTAAAAACTGTAAAATCTTCTAAATTAAAAAAATATTTTTAAATTCAAAAGATACAGTTAAATGAATATAAAAAAAGTGAATATAAAAAATGTGGTTATTGTTTTCATATGTAACATATAATAAAAAAATAAATCTGGTCATATTTTTTATTTTAAAGATAAAAAAGACATGATTTAAAAAATAATCATCACGAATTAAATAAACATGTCAGATGACATTATGAACACATGATACCATGTGATTGTTTAACTCTTAGCTTGTTAGCATGTCACATGACAACATGACATCAAGCCAACAAAAACATATTTATTAAAAATGAAACATTTCATAGTTAAAATATACCTTAAATATTATTAATATAATTAAAATATACCTAAATAGCTTTACTATCTATACTGCTGTTTTATCTTTTTAATTAAAATCAATTTAATTTGTATGTTAAACATTTTTTAATTTGAATTATAATTTTAATTTAAATTTCAATCAACAAACTTCATTGAAAACTTCAAAGTTTCTTCAACAAAGATGTAAACCCAGCGAGAAAATGAGTCCAAAGATTTTTTGCAGAGAAGTTCTCTAAAAAAAAAAAAGTTAACATGAAATTTTTAACAGTACTTTGAAATTGATTTGGTTATTTTATACTTGGTTATTTAGAGGAGTCAAATTAAATAATATACTTAATCCTGCTTAACAAGCACCACATGTTTTTACCCAACATGTTTTCACCCCACATATTTCACCTCGCATGTTTTAACTCCACATTTTTTCAGCCTACATCTTTTCACCTCTCATTTTTTTTTACACCACATCTTTTCACACTAGCCTCTTTAGAAGGTCACTTGTGCATTGAAATTATTATTAGAGTTTTATATATCACTTTCTATAGGTTAGATGTGAATAATAAAACAACATAAAACCTTTTTTAACCATATTCATATTACAATGGTAACCAAGTAAAAAATTACATACAAAATAAATTAAACTTATGAAAAATCATTTCAGAAAAAAATTAGCTAAAAAAGAACAGATAAAATTTTGTGATAAGAAAAACACAAACCAAGATATAATCAAAATCTAGGAATAATATATCATTTGGATTTATTTTACCATTTTCAATTTTAGTTGTAATTAAATTGAAAGATTCAAATAAGTTTGTTAAGCACCCTTTATTTTGTGCAAATCCATTGAATTGTTAATATATTGTTTTTTATTATATAAATTATCCATTTTTCTTTATTATTTTCCCATTATTTTACTTGGTATCGATGTTAAAGTCTGTAATTGAGTGGATGCTTCTTGTTTCCTTTTTTAAAAAGTAGTGTAATGTTTGCATATTTCCATAATTAAGGCAGTTCTCCTGAATGAATCAATTTCTCAAATATTATAGATAAAGGTTTAGATAATCCTTCTGCATAATACTTCGACACATAGAGCCTGATGTTATTGCAACCAAGAGATTTGTTTTCATTAAGTTCGAATAAATAACTAAGTATAATATCTTCTTTTAGTTCTTGAGTCAAATTCAAATAATTGACTTGTTTTATTGCTAAAATGTCATAAATTTAGGTTTTCTTTGAAAAATACTGATTGGAAACTTGAATTTAGTAAATTAGTAACGGCTTTTTTGTCAGTTATTATTTTATTGTCACTAATTTAAAGTGCTAGTATTTTTGTATTTGTTAGATTCTTTCCTTGTATTCTGCTTTTCAAAAATTATATCTCTTACTGTTGAGCTTTTTGTCACATAAATTGAACAGGTTAGTTTTTCATTTTATGATGTAATGGCTTTTTGTAATTTGACCAAAAATAGCATCATATTTAATGTTGATTACTAAATCTATATTATCACATAGTATTAAGTCTAATATATTTGTTGGTTTATCAACAGCCATTTGATAAACCAACAAATTATTATTATTTATTGTAAACATAGTTGGACCTGTTCTTGCAACCAACCTTCAACCGTTATCACATCATCATGTTGCTTCTCTTTCTCTTTTCTACAAATACTATAATGGGCACTGCTCTAAAGAGCTAGTGTCTCTAGTGCCATCTATTAAAATTCATTCTCGTGTTACTGGTCATTCAATCAAGTCTCATCCTTTTTCTGTGACTGTTCCTAAGTGCTCCAAAAACTCTTATTCATCTAGTTTTTTTCCTCGAACATCAGTTCTTTGGAATTCGCTTCCTTCATCATACTTGCCTAATTCATATAATTTGAAATCTTTTCCTAATCCTGACCCTGACCCTAAAAGTCGTCTGTCAATCGTTATCTTGCTCTACAATGTTCATCTTTTCTCTTCCAGTAACTTCTAACACTAATTAGTGGTTGCTTGCAGCCTTGTTGGAAAAGAAGATACTTAAAAAAAAAATTTTGAAAAGTTGATAACTATTTGATGTAAATAATTGTTTTGCAAATTATTAATAAATGCTTTGCTTTGTTTGGCAGTTTTTTTAGTTCTTAATTCCATCTTAATTCCAAAAAATATTTGGATAATCACTAACAATCATTAAATTGGAGTATTTTCCATTAAACACTTCCTTTTTTTGCAGTTTTTATTAATTCACTAATTGAATTGTTTTCCAAGTCACTACTGTTTGGTGGTACATCCATGATATACATACATGTTTTTATTTTATGATGTAGTAAGCTACACCATATTTCTTCAACTTCTTTATATAAAGGTAAAACAACTACTTCATGAGCAATTATATCATACTTAGTAAAAATTGCAACACCCCCACCTTGTTTATTTGTTCTATTATTGTAAAAGCAGTAGTAGTTGTTAATATTAATAATTGAGTCATTTTTGAACTATGTTTCACAAATAAGTATATCTGGTGAATCTATCATGATTTTTGTCTCAAACTCTGTTTTTTTATTTACCAAAGATGTAACATTTTTTTACCAATATTGAAGATAATTATACTTTTTAACAATAAGCTCATTTAATTTATCTTTTTACAACTTACTAAAAATTTACTTGAGTCGAATTGTTATTTGGTGGGTAAATTGAACTTTTAATGTCTTTTTGGTGCTATCTCCTTATTTTTATTACTTTAACCTTTCATATACCATAATAAAAATATTCTCTCTTTTTTTTTTCTTTATTTTTATCTCTATATTCTTTTCTTAATAGCTTGGATTTATATCTTAATGTTTCTGTCAAGTCCTGATTGATGAAAAAAATTTTATACTAAAGCTTTTTTGCTTTTTTGCAATATCAAGTTTTTTTAAGATTTATTATATAATATAACTATGAACTATCATATGAATATTATCATATAATATAACAATGTTTGTCGCTGTTTGATCTTAACTTTATAATATTTTGTACAATATATATAACATCTTAACTTATTATTTATCTTATTATTATTATTTAATTAAACTTTTAATACTTTTTCAATAGTCATTTTATCATTTAATTTTGCTTTGTTTTTGTCTTCATTGTCAAAAGCTTTTATTCCAAAAATTACAAAATTTTTTAGGCATTATATAAGGTTTTTCTTTTTCCTTAATTTCACTTGCCACTGTATTTATTATGAGCATTTTCAGAAGATCTTAGGAGTTCAGGAGATTTCTTTACTTTATCTGCACATGTTATGCTTGCATAAATAGGTACAGATTTACTATTATCCAAATCTCCAACTCTTTCCATTAACTTTTTGTTATTATTGTTGAGTTTTTCAATCAAACCTCTAAACTCTTTATCTTCTCTGATTGTGCTTTATTGTTAAATTTTTAAATTTTAAATTGTTAAAGTGTTAAATTCCGTAATTTGAACACTTATCTTTTTTTTTACCTCGAAAAGCTTTTATATGTTTATGTTTTTGTTTGCACTTAAATTATGATTCTAATTTTTTTATTTTCCATTCTAGAACTTTGATAAACTTTAGTAATACATAAGAAATAACACAATTGTATATAAAATTTATAATTTTACCAAATTTAAGTTCTTGATCTCATAAATAATTTGAAATAATTAGTTAGTTAATTAAGTTACACAAAGCCACACCATTGTTAAACTCATTGTTAGCTGAGTATACGCGTCTATATACAACTTGTATGTCGGCCACTTTAGTGCGACATTTATGATGAGCTGTAGTAATTATGATGACTGAAAATTGTTCAGTGTTTAAATTTATCAAAAATGTTGCCTTGATTGTTAAATTTATCAACTGATGTTGCCTTGATTGTTAAATATATCAACTAATGTTGCCTTGATTGTTAAATTTATCAACTATTAAATTTATCAAATATTAAGTTGCCTTGTCATTATCTGGTTAAGCATCCAGTCATTGACTACACAGTTGTTTAAAAACTTATGTCTGACTTTGCAGTTCCTAGCAATCTTGCAATCAAATCTGATTCCATGTCGAGCTCTGGGTGCTATGCTGCAAGACTTTACAAGCCAATAAATTGTTGAGAAGCTTATATTGTTGAAGAAGATCACCACTTTTCCAATTTCATGATTTTACATAGAGTTTTGTAGTTTTTTTTTAAAGAACTTTTGTGGCGTTGCATTATAACTTTTCAATTTTTTTTATGTCACTTTCAAGATAAGGGTTCCAAGCCTGTACGGCAAACTCCAGATGTGGTCTAATATATGCAGTATGAATCTCTTGATACAAACACGTGTTCAAGATTTCTGAGCATTACACTGTTGAGCATATTTACGATTCTCAGAGATCAGAATTCTGAGATATTTTTTGGAAATTATGAATTATAAAACTACTCTATTGGTTGTGTCATCATTTTTGATTTCATTCATAAAATAATAAAAATTTATTGTTCCAATGTGCATTCCAACATACATGACTTTACATCTTTTTACATTCAACTCCATTAGTCAGATTTGCACCCATTTAAACAACAAATAAATACAAAAAATAAATACAATTATATAAACACAATAAATAAAGTAGCAAAATGCTTCAAAGAATATGTAAACACAATAAATAAAGTAGCAAAATGCTTCAAAGATTATGTAAATACAATAAATAAAGTAGCAAAATGCTTCAAAGATTATGTAAATACAATAAATAAAGTAGCAAAATGCTTCAAAGATTATGTAAATACAATAAATAAGGTAGCAAAATGCTTCAAAGATTATGCAAACACAATAAATAAAGTAGCAAAATGCTTCAAAGATTATGTAAATACAATAAATAAAGTAGCAAAATGCTTCAAAGATTATGTAAATACAATAAATAAAGTAGCAAAATGCTTCAAAGATTATGTAAATACAATAAATAAAGTAGCAAAATGCTTCAAAGATTATGTTAATACAATAAATAAAGTAGCAAAATCTATCAAAGATTATGTAAACACAATAAATAAAGTAGCAAAATGCTTCAAAGATTATGTAAACACAATAAATAAAGTAGCAAAATGCTTCAAAGATTATGTAAATACAATAAATAAAGTAGCAAAATGCTTCAAAGATTATGTAAATACAATAAATAAAGTAGCAAAATGCTTCAAAGATTATGTAAATACAATAAATAAAGTAGCAAAATGCTTCAGAGAATATGTTAATACAATAAATAAAGTAGCAAAATCCTTCAAAGATTATGTAAACACAATAAATAAAGTAGCAAAATGCTTCAAAGATTATGTAAATACAATAAATAAAGTAGCAAAATGCTTCAAAGACTATGTAAATACAATAAATAAAGTAGCAAAATGCTTCAAAGAATATGTAAATACAATAAATAAAGTAGCAAAATCCTTCAAAGATTATGTAAACACAATAAATAAAGTAGCAAAATGCTTCAAAGATTATGTAAACACAATAAATAAAGTAGCAAAATGCTTCAAAGATTATGTAAATACAATAAATAAAGTAGCAAAATGCTTCAAAAATTATGTAAATACAATAAATAAAGTAGCAAAATGCTTCAAAGACTATGTAAATACAATAAATAAAGTAGCAAAATGCTTCAAAGAATATGTAAATACAATAAATAAAGTAGCAAAATGCTTCAAAGATTATGTAAATACAATAAATAAAGTAGCAAAATGCTTCAAAGATTATGTAAAAGAATGAGAGCGGTAAAATTTTTTTAACTTTTCAAACAACAAGTTTTAGCAATTGAAGTCAATTTAGATTTTAAAAATACTTTATACTTTGTATATAAATAATACTATAAATTATAATATATATATATATATATATATATATATATATATATATATATATATATATATATATATATATATATATATATATATATATATATATATATATATATATATATATATATATATATATATATGAAGCATCCTAGTTGGCGACTTTTGGGGACATGTTATTTTTGTTCCCGTTCTGTTGTTTTTTTTTTACTTTTTTTATACTATTTTTATCATATTTATAAATTTTTTTTTAATTTCTATTTTATTTATACATATTTAAATTTATCATTTTATCATAAAAATATATTTTTTATATTAATTTTTGTTATTTTTATTTATTTATTTTATATTATATTCTATTTTTATTTATACATATTTAAATTTATCATTTTATTATAAAAATATATTTTTTATATTAATTTTTGTTATTTTTATTTATTTATTTTATATTATATTTTATTTTTAACTTCATCTATTTACAAAAACAATTAATTACAATAATATAACTAAATTTAAACCTTGCCATAACCCTAACCTCAAGCCTGACCTTGATGTCTGGCCAAACCAAACCCTCAGTCAATGTAGCAGCACTCCCTTGAAAGTCAGGCTATTTGTCAGTCAATGTATGTACTTTTCGTTCTCTATAAAAGTTTCATACGGGTACATTTTTTTACAAAAAAATCATGCTTACAGGGACAAAAAATTAACGGGTACACTGAAATGTCCCCGATAATGCTAATGTCCACGTAAGTGTTCGCTTTTTTGTAAAATCTGTCCCCACAAGTGCTAAACTATACAAATATATATGTATATATATATATATATATATATATATATACATATATATATATATATATATATATATATATATATATATATATATATATATATATATATATATATATATATATATATATATATATATATATATATATATGTATATATTATATATATATATATATATATATAACAAATTTGCCTTATATAAGCTTTTAGGCATTAATATATCTACTTATTATTGTAGCATTTTATTTTTTCTCAAAAGGATATCTATGAGCTACTTTGTTTGAAACTTGACACACATGGCTTTGGTAATATATATCTATAACACATTTTGAATATTAATTATAACAATAATAAGTATATATTAATGTTTATTATAAAAATATATTATAATATTCTAGCTATTGCAAGCAACTGTGTCATAAAAAGTTGACACAGTTGCTTGCGATAGCTAGCAACTGTGTCAATTATTTATATAAATTATTCAACATATATATTATATTTATATAAATCATTCAACATATATATTATGTTTATATATTTTTAGGCATTATATAAGTAACTGTAGAAACTGTAAAAAAAATAAACTAAGAAAGTCTAAAAAATAATTCTACTGTACAGTTAATTTACCCGAATAAATCCACAAGATTAACCAAAATGATGAAATCTTGAGGCATCTTAGGCACAAGATTTAGTGTAGGATCTGAGACAGGATCTCTTAACTATAAAAATTACTTAGCTTTTATTTGTAATAAATAAATTCTAAAAACATAAACAAAAAAATTTCAAATTTAGCATAAAATATCAAGTTACAAAAAAAAAAAAAAATTAAGAGGGGGCAAATAAAAGGGACAAATAAAAAAACCTTCTCAGCTTCTTTATTTTCAGTAACAAAGTTCAACTTATTTAAGACATTTAAAAATGCTGACAAAATACAATCATAGAGCAGTTCTTTTAATGCCACACACAGTTCTGAACGTGAATAAACTGAAATCTAAAAATTTATTTCAACCTATCATTCCTCATTTATTATGCAAAATGTTAAAAAATAAAACAAAATGATAGTTATTTATTTACTTACAGAGTAGTTTTTTTCTTCTAATAAAAAGTTCCATATGGGAAGAAAAGTCTTGATTGTTATTAATGCATCTTTTTTGCTTAAATTTTCTGTAGATATCTTAAAAATTACAATAAGCAATAGTAAATAATTTTCTTTGTTACAATTTAAAAGACATTAAACTTCCAAACTAGATAATTTACAAAAACTGAGAGGAATTTTGATATTAACATTATTTCGATAGAAAAAAAATTCTTTTTAAATAAAAAAATAAATTTCTTTTAACTAAAGATGTTATAACTTTGTAACTTTATCAATTGTAATCAGAATTTACACTTAAATAACTCAGTCCTAATCTGCAAAATAAATTAACTCAAGGAAGAGCATCCAGTTGTAAAAGAAATTAACTCAAGGAAGGGCATCCAGTAGTAAAAAATTGCTTTAACTCTTCTATAACATATACAAATAAGAAAATGACATTATTAAAAACTACCTAAACCTTACATGAGTTGAACCATTAACATTAAAATGCACAATCCAACCAATACAATGGTTTAACATTTTTTGGAAATCAAACATTCAATATGGATATAATTTTTATTTTACTTCAAAGACCACTGGAATGTATTGATAAGAATGATTGGGTTTATACTAATGAGTCATTGAAAAGAATATCAACTATACCATTTTAAATATGACATGATTGTATACATTTATCACATCAAAAACTTTGTTTTTAAAAAAAGCTTATTTTTTAAAAAAAAAATTTTGACTGTCTGGGGAAAACATAGAGGATCTAAATTTTCTGAGTAACTATCAGAAGTGTTTTTTAGTAAAAATCAATTTATTTTTTTCTTTATGAAGGATAGGAAACAAAACTTTTTGGTGCTAAAGTTTCTGATGAATTATTTATTTCCAAATAAGTGACATGAAATGTAAATGCTTTTAATCTAAATAAAATCATGTAATTGTGCAAGTTATTTTAATACATTAATTTAATAGGATAATCTACATTACATATCAACCGGATAATCTACCTTAAATATTGCCTAACCATTTAAATATCAAGAAATATATTACTAAAACACTTATGTGGATTTAAAAACTTTTTTATAGTTTATTTGGTACTAAAGGTATACGTGACATGGTTATGAAGGTATATGTGGCATGTAGTAATGAAGGTACATGTGGTATGTAGAAATGAAGGTATATATGGCATGTAGTGATGAAGGTATATGTGACATATAGGAATGAAGGTATGTGTGGCATGGTTATAAAAGTGTATGTGGAATGTAGTAATAAAGATATATGTGGCATGTAGTGATGAAAGTATGTGGCATGTAATGATGAAGGTATATGTGACATAGGAATGAAGGTTTGTGTGACATGATTATAAAGGTATATGTGGCATGATTATAAAAGTACTGTGACATCTAGTAATAAAGGTATATGTGGCATGTAGTGATGAAAGTATATGTGGCATGTAATGATGAAGGTAAATGTGGCATGTAATAATGGAGTTAATAAAATATTTACCTCTTCAGACAACGTAGAATGAGAACATGTTCGAATTAAAATTTGATAAACTAGAAAAAATATATTTTTAAAGAAACCAAAAATACTTTGTCATTCAAACCTAGTTAACAAATAAAGAAAAATGTAATAGCAAAGTATTATAAATATTTATTTAGGAATTACTAAACTCAAGATAAGAAACATGAAAATACGCTATATATAATATACACTAATCATACCAATGCGAGAAAGACTAGTCTTAAGCATTGATTGAGTTGAACTAACTGAATCAATGAATGTAGCAATCCCTTTCATATAGAGAGCTAAACCAGTTTTCCCAAGATTAAAAATATTTTCGAATATAAAAATAATGATTTTTTCAATCGGTTGAAGTAGTGAATAATTAACCTTAAAAAATAAAATCACTGTATCATAAACTTTAATTTACTTATTACAGTTAAACTTCTTTTTAATAAAAGAATCATTTATGATTAAGTATAAATTACTTAAAAAATTTATTAATCTAATTTAATTTATTAATTAGTTATAAAAATTATCAAATAC